TTCAAAAGATACTACAGTAGGTAAGGTATTTGTGTAGCATGCAGCAGAACCAGGTTCCATCCCTTGGCACCATATTGTACCCCAAGAAATGCCAGGAATGATCCCAGAGCTCAGAGTCAGCATTTAGCACTGCTGGGTATGGTACCCCCAAAATAATAATCCAAAAAAAAAAGCGCTTTCCATGCCTTCAGTCCAAGTTCAATCCTCAGCACTTCATGTTCTTCAAGCATCCCCAAGAGTGACCCCAAGCAAAGTCTAGAGTAACTTCCAAGCACTACCAGGTATCACCCAAAAATCAAACTCAAGAAACAGAATATTTGGGACTGGAGTTGTAGAATAACATGGAGTGGTTGTACATCAGGTAGGGTGTTTGCCTTGCAAGCAGCTGACCCGGGTTCAATTCCCAGCATCCCATATGGTCCCTCGAGCGCACCTGGTGTAATTCTTGAGTGCAAAGCCAGGAGTAACCCCTGTGCATCATGGGGTGTGACCCAAAAAGTGAAAGAAAGAAAGAAAGAAAGAAAGAAAGAAAGAAAGAAAGAAAGAAAGAAAGAAAGAAAGGAAGGAAGGAAAGAGAGAGAAAGAGAGAAGGAAGGAAGGAAGGAAGGAGAAAGAGAGAGGAAAGAAAGAAAGAAAGAAAGAAAGAAAGAAAGAAAGAAAGAAAGAAAGAAAGAAAGGAGGAAGGAAGGAAGGAAGGAAGGAAGGAAGGAAGGAAGGGAGGGAGGGAGGGAGGAAGAAAAAAAGGAGGGAGGGAGGGAGGGAGGGAGGGAGGAGAAAGGAAGGAAGGAAGGAAGGAAGGAAGGAAGGAAGGAAGGAAGGAAGGAAGGAAAAAGAAAGAAAGAAAGAAAGAAAGAAAGAAAGAAAGAAAGAAAGAAAGGAAGGAAGAAGAAAGGAAGGAAGGAAGGAAGGAAGGAAGGAAGGAAGGAAGGAAGGAAGGAAGGAAGGAAGAAAGTCACTGTGGGAAAAGACTTGAACTGCAGTGGGGGAAAAGATAAACACCTCCATTTGGGGCCGATTCTTTTTGTTGAAAATGAAGAATTCAGCCCTTTCTTTGGTGGTATCTACCGCTGCAGCACCTCTTTAATAGTCACTTGCAAAAGGTGACTCTTTGCCTCTTTTTAAATTTATTTTTCATTCCCACTCTTTGAGACACCATGAAAGCATAAGATGTTGTCTTTTATTACTGGTCTTCAGCTAATGTTGGTGTCATGATTTGTAGAATTCAGACATGTTCACAGAGAGGTCTCTCAACAGCAAATCTAATAGATGTTGGCTCACTCTTACCGGTGTTTTTAAATTTAGAAAATTCTTATAAGATCCAAAAGTAGGTATAGTTGAATTGACTTACTTTTGAGAGCATGACAATAGATTTGATGGGGGGAGAGAAGATTTTTCCGAAATATAGCCTATAAAAGATTATGGAGATCAGCCCCCTAAACCGGCAAGAAAACTGAGGGAAGAAACTTGGAAAGTGACTGATTTTTGTGAAGAGTGCCCAGACAGATGGTATGGAGCCAGTGTTTCTTTGCTTATTTGCTGTTGAGTTTTTTGTTGATTTGGCTTGGTTTGAGACCACACCCAGTGGTGGTGCTCAGGGGCTATATCCAGCCCAGTATGCTCAGGATCACCCCAGCAGCACTCCGACCAGCATGCAGAACTGGGGATCAAACCTGGGTCCCCTGCCTGGAGAGCATGTGCTCAGCCCGTTGAGCTCTCTCAGAGGCCTCCGTGTTCTTCCCCCTTCCTGCCTCTCAGGGAGGAGGAAAGAACCCTCGTGTGGCCACCTGCCCCCATAGGCTTGTCATTTTGAAGCCAAATGCATCATGGCTGAGGCTGCCCAGGTGTGCTCTGGCTGTGTGGTTCTTCCACTTTTGAAATGAAGTAGCACCTAGTAGCACTAGCACCTAGTCTAGAGGTCAGGGAGAACCCCACCACATAGAACCTGCCGCTGTGGTAACTGGTTCCACAGTCCAGGAGAAATGGGCAAGCTTGGATGATATTGTGAAACTCAGTTGAAAAGTTAATGACCTTCAAACCAAACTTTCCCCAAGTCCCCGCTGGTATTTCTGCCACGTTTTGCATAATGAAGTCAGATCACTAGTTTTCCATGATGGCCTGAGGAGAGGTTTACTAGGCAATTAAGTGAGATTGAGGAGAGACTCCACAAAACAAGGAGATTTTCTGAGAAAGGTGCCAAAGAGAGCAAGACCATTTTGCGAAGGGACAATTTGGCTAACACAGTAGCTCTCAAAGCGGGTTGTACTAGGTCAGGGACATGAGGGTCTTGTGTTTCCAAGTGATTGTACTCCACATAGGAGGCCCTCCAACAGCTTAATTTGCTGAACTAGTTTTTTTTTTTTTTTAGCTTTTTGGGACACACCCGGCAATGCACAGGGGTTACTCCTGGCTCTGCACTCAGGAATTACTCCTGGCGGTGCTCAGGAGACCATATGTGATGCTGGGAATCGAACCTGGGTCGGCTGCATGCAAGGCAAACGCCCTTCCCGCTGTACTATCACTCCAGCCCCTGAATTAGTTTTAACTAGATTCCTAAACCTGCCTGAGTCCCACCCCAGCCAGAGATTTCACAATGGGCGCCATGCCAATGAGGTAGAATCTGACGGGCGTGACTCAGAGTGGGGACAGCAAAGGCAATGGACTGGTGGGCTTCCTTGACTGCCTCTTCCCTCTTATCCAGATGTGAGCACAAATGCAGCACTAGACACACTTGAAGTCAGATTTCCACAGTAACCTGGGACCATCCTACCAGGATGCCTCATATGTCAAAGCCAGTTAATTCTGCTACGGAGAACAAATACTCACAAGCCCAAACTAGACTTGAACCCAACCATATGGATCCACTTTACCATTCGACTCATTCACAGTTTTGACCCAAGACACATATATTCACATACTCTTTCTCTCTTTCTCTCTCTCCTCCTCTCCCTTTTTCTTTCTTTCCATCTTTCTTTCTGCCTCTGTCTGTCTCTGTCTCTCTCTGTCTCTCTCTCTCTCTCTCTCTCTCTCTCTCTCACACACACACACACACACACACACATGCATACACATATGCATGCACGCACACACTCACCCAATGGCTACCTCATACTAAGTACTATTAAAGGCACTGAGAATACAAGGACAACTAAAAGAATAAAAACTATAAAGTGGTATGTTGGATAGGATACAGTTGGCCACCCTTAACCCTGAAGCCTTTCAGTGATGGCAGATCACAGGAAAGCTGAACAAGGCTAATAAAAACCCACCCTGAGTTTAGCAGAAACAATTTCATCTAATTTGCTGATGCGAATGACCCTATTTTGTAATTGTGCAATTCTGCAGAGTATTTCTTCCCAGAGCCTTCCTTATTACTAAACTAGAAGTTCAACAAATTCTGGTGCGTAGAAGGAGCATGCAGAGGGCTAAGAAAGTGATCGGAAAGGCTGGATGTCACGCTGTGTTACCAGAGGCATTCTGGGTTTCATCTCCAGCATTGCAAGAGCACCTCCAGGAACAAGCCTTGAGCACTGAGCCCCAAGCACCACTAAGTGTGGTGCGCGCGCGCACACACACACACACACACACACACACACACACACACCAAGAAAGAGAATCATGTACATAGAGAGAAGTAGAACAGGATCCAACACTTAATCTTCACCAAGTTCTCAGGAGATCCTTACACCATGGACCACTGACCCCAAGCCTCTACTGTGAAATCCCACATGGTCTCTTGGGGAACCAAAATGTGATGGCCCTTAGGCCTCTTAAGAACAGTGCATGGGGGCTGGAGCAATAGCAAAGCGGGTAGGGCGTTTGCCTTGCATGCAGCTGACCTGGGTTCAATTCCCAGAACCCCATATGGTCCCCCAAGCACTGCCAGGAGCAATTCCTGAGTGCAGATTCAGGAGTAACCCCTGAGCATTGCTGGGTGTGACCCAAAAAGCAAAAAAAAAAAAAAAAGAACAGAGTGCAGGACCCAGGACCCAGGCTTTCACACAATGCCCTCCTGCATCAGTACCCAGCCCAAGAGATCCAGCACCAGCACCATGCCCCAGTACTCAGTGAGTGCTCAAACACTCAGTATTTCCCACCAAGGAAATTGACACAGTCACTGTCTTTATCCCTATAGAGATCCCTTTGAAAGCAGAAATAGGCATGAGTGGATAAGAATAATAAAAGTTTTTAGTTTTGTTTCTACATGCAGCCGGTCCCTAAAATGTTTACCAGAAGGTTCTTAAGAAGCACTCTTCTCATGAAAGAAAATCCTGAATTTGAAAACAGTTGATACAACTGATTCTCATGTTCCTCCCCTTTCCTCTTTAAACACACACACACACACACACACACACACACACACACACACACAAATGACTTGAATTATATAAAGGGCTTTGTCCGACGATTCAAATCCTCTCTCCCTCTGACACTCTTCTTTTTATAGAGAAGGGGCCAGTTGTCAGGGCTGGAGAGCTAGTACAACAGGTCAGGCACTTGCCTTGCCTTGAATGCAACCAACCCCAGCTCAGCCCCCAACACTTCAGAAGTTTCACCCTAGATACCTCCAGGAGTATTCCCTGAGCACAGAGCCAGGAGTAAGCTCTGGGCACTGCTGGGTGCCTCCCCCAGGAACATCCCCTCCCCCCAAAAAACGGTGCCACATGAAAAAATTGTATAAAAGAATATCCGAGCTCTGAACTTGTCCTGTCTGATTAACATCCTGGTAATCTCTATGCTCTTCTGGAAGGAGTCTTCATTTCATTGTGTGAAGGAAGAGTGGAGGATCTGGGTTCCAAGCCCAACAGAGGAGTGGGGGGATGGGACCACATGGAGGAACCTTAGATCCCAGCGACAGGGACAGATAGCGTTTGCCTTGTGTTTCTCTCTGCTACACTGGTGTTTTTATCTCCCCAGCTGAAGACTTGAAATAAATATTTTGATTTTCTGTTATTGCCGACGATTACTGCATCTTCTTATTTAACTTATGTCTTCTTTCCAAGCGAGAATATCCAGGTTTCGGTTGGATCTATTTTAAGGTGAATGAATTAACCAGCCTAATAATACATTCATATGTTTCTTTTTTTTATATCATTAATTTTTACTCTAAAATACAGAGTACACGGGCTAGAATCCCTAGTAAACCACGTTGTCTTTTGGATTTGTTTCTTTCTTCGTTTCCTTCTTCCCTGCTAGGGGAACCTGCCACCTGACTACAGAATCAGCCTGATTGACATCGGCCTGGTGATCGAATACCTGATGGGCGGGGCCTACCGCTGCAACTACACTCGCAAGCGCTTCCGGACCCTCTACCACAATCTATTCGGCCCCAAGAGGGTGAGGCTGGCCCCCAATTCCTGTTCCTGGGCTCCTGGGGGCGAGGGAGGGCAGGACACTGAACCGGTTTGAGGTCTGATTCCTTAATTGTCATCTCCAAGAGGGAGATCAGAAGAGGAAGTAAGGTTCTCCCTTTCTCTACAGTCAAAACCGTTTTTTGTAAAGGCCGGGTGGTGTTGCATGGGGATATTCCTCCCCAGATCCTATTTAAATCATTAGATGGCACTAAAGGGGCTGGTGCACGAGTTTTGCATGCGGGAGGCCGGGATTTGATCACACTGGTGTTCAGTCTGGGTTTGCCCGGCTGCAGCCCAAAATAAAATTCAAAAACAAAAATGGAGATTGAGCCTGAATGATCAGTGGATAGAATTAGTAGTCCAACTCATGATCTCCCTCGGGGTGTCTTCAAGGTTTCAATTTGTTCTGTTTTGTTTTGTTTGGAGTCCATACCCAGTGGTGCTCGGATTAAACTCAAGTGGGCACACTGCCCTCTGTACTATCACTCTAGTCTCTCAAGGATTTGGGGTTTGGTCTTTTTTTTTCCTTTTGGGTCACACCTGGCCATGCACAGGGGTTACTCCTGGCTCATGCTCTCAGGAATTACTCCTGGAGGTGCTCGGGGGACCATATGGGATGCTGGGAATGGAACCTGGGTCTGCCGCATGCAAGGCAAATGCCCTACCCGCTGTGCTGTCGCTCCAGTCCCAAGGTTTCTGTCTTTGGGCTCTGTTTACAAGCTTAAAAATTCGTAAGTGGGGCTGGAGATCACAGACATTGGGTCGTATGCAAGGCAGGTGAAACTCAGTTTCTATTTTATGCCCCCATGTGGCCTATCAGCACCTCTGGGTATAGCTATGGAGTCTCCCAAACTTGGCCAGCCATGCTCTGGTGGTCCCTAGCACCTCAGGACCTGAGCAGCACCACATCCTCGGTCTCATACATTGAGTCTCGATGGTAGACAATTGCCAAGAACAGTCCTTTTAGATAGCCCCCTCTATGGAGTACTGCTTGAAAGCCCCCCAGAATTAATTAGGACCCCCAAGTTTTTTTTATTAGTGAAACACCATGAGGTACAGTTATAGACTTGCAATTTTTTGTGCTTGGGTTTCAGTTATGCAATGATCGAATACCCATCCCTCCACCAGTGCCCATCCTGCACCACCACGGGTCCCAGCATCTCCCCCCACCCCCCATCCCCCCCATCCCAACCTGTCTCTGTGGCAGGGCATTCCCTTTTGTTCTCTCTCTGTCTCCTTTTGAGGACCCTCAAGTTTTTATCCAGGTGAAATTTACCTATTGATTCATACTAGAAGTTAAGTTAGACTTTTGAAGGTATTTGTTTCATTTTGAGATAATCCTTCTAGCTCATCATATGTTCGTATAAATAACTTCTTTCTCAAAATACTCCTGGTCAGAGTAGCACTATTTTTTCACTCTTTTTTATTCACAATTTTCAAGATTTTCATATCTTCTTCAGTTCATTGCAAGATAGTATTCTGATTATAGTAAATGAAAATTCTTACCCCACAAAATATGGAAGTAACGATTTTTTACAGATAATTATTTATTTTTTAGTCCTATAGCAAAATTCCACAAGTGGCAAATTCTTAAATATCAGTTGCAATGTGAAATATGAAACAATGGCTATGAACTTTCCACGGTCTGTTACATTAAGATCTAGTTGGTCTCTCAAGCACACTTCTCATGAAATCTTGCAACATCATATATTGGTCATTATAAAATATTGAGCCCCTGAGTTATGCATATCTTACAAACATTGACACATTTCATTATGCAATTCCAAAATCTCAGTTTCATTTATATCGTATCCAATCTCATGAGAAAACAAAATAAAAAGCAAAAAGCAAATACAAAAAAAAACACAGTCAAAAGCATGGGGGAGAGGACACAATTTTCTCCAAATTCTAATTTTCCCTCATTTCTGCTTGGAAAGTTTAAATTTTGTCATTGGCAAAAAAATGTCGTCGTTTTCCTGGAAAAAATGAATGACTTCATTCATTCCCAAAAAATGTCTGCCATGTGTCCAAGTCAAAATAATCAGTTTGTCTGCGAGTGATTCCTTCAAGGACATATCCAAGAAAATGGCAATGACTCAATCCAAACTGTCAAGTGTTTGCCTTAGGACAACCCATCAGAGTGTCCACAGTTCAGTATTTAACAGAAGTACTTTTCATCCCTCTCAGAATAGCCTTTTTAATATAATGAAGGATAGAGAATTTAATAAAGCTAACGTTACTTGTTTTCTAGCTCTCATCAAGAACGCGCGCGTGTGTGTGTGTGTGTGTGTGTGTGTGTGTGTGTGTGTGTGTGTGTTTGGATACAGGGGAGGCGAGAGCCATACTGGGCAGTGTCCGGCTTTATACTTGGGTTGCTCTTGGCAGTGCTTAGGGATCGTGTCATGCCAAGGACTGAACTCAGGCCTCCTCCATGCAAAATGTGCACACCAGTCCTTTGAGGTTTTTTCCATCCCCTCATCAAGGAATTATTTGGTGAAATTGGCATTTTTTTTCATCTAAAATTCAAGTATTTGACAGTGGAATTCAATGACAACTATTCAAGTTTGTTACCACTGCCTTATTCTTGTTAAGACAGACAGCAATTTAATTCATTATCATTTTACATTGTCACTACACATGTTAACTGTGTCAAAACTTAAAGATACCTTAGCATTGTTAGGAAATTAATTTTGACTTTTCAGATTCCCTAATAAGGTCTCAGGAAAGACTTCTCTGAAAAAGTATCATGGTCCATGGACCACATTTTGAAAACTGCTCTCCTAGCTGGGGTAGGCATAGTTTTCATGTAGGCCCAAGCTCATTTTCTGATTATGAAACTTTTTTGTGACACTAGAATAGAACTTTGAAAACACCCAAAATTATAAATACAAAAAAGAAGTAGTGATCATTTAAAGGAGGCAAGAGAAAAGGAAAGGGAGAGAGGCATAGGGTCCAAGTGATTCCTAGTTGAATGGTCCAATAAAATTTGGAGGGACTTTCAGTGTTCTCATGACTATTTACTTGGTCAACTTTCAAAGTGGCACCAAGCATTCTGTAATCCTTAAAATATGGGTGTGTTGCTCCTGAGCTAAGATGTGTAATTTTCTATTTGTTCTTGTGAAATATAAACTGGGTTCTGTAAGTAACGGAGTTCCTTGCTCTCTCCATCTTGGTCTATGACTATGCTGTACATACCCAGGCATGCTCAGTACTGCTGCTGTATGTGATGCCACTTTTCATGTCATATGACACCCCTTCACTAGTGACACATGTTCTTCTCCCTGATCATGGGGTTAAGTCCAGCATGGAGATATATATATATATATATATATATATATATATATATATATTTGTATTTCTGAATCATATCCTGGGTCTCCTGAGGTTTGTGAAACCTCTTATGGGCTGACTCTCTATTGAACTGCTCACTTACCACTTGAAGTCATGGAGATGTGAGCATCATCCACTTTTGGTCCACAAAAGAGCATGTAAAATGGAGTTTTTATATTGAATGATCTCATAATGCCTTTCCAGGTTCCTCAGTTTTTGTGATTCATCAAAATAATTAAATCTTTAATTCTCTCTGAATTCCAGTGAATGGGCTTCCCTAATGTTGTTTTATTTGGTGAAATGAATAAGTGCTCTATGTTGTAATAATGCTCTCCTATTGCCTATTTAAACACAGTGGGATTCTTTTCTTGTGTGTAGAAAGGTCTAACTTTGTGCACTACCTTTGTTTTTAACAGCCGAAAGCCTTGAAACTGCTGGGAATGGAGGTAAGTGTTTGCTCACATTTTTAGCATCAATTATTTGTTCTCATATAAATTCATTTCAGCGATAATAGGAATACATAATTCTAAGCAAGGAGGTCAATGTCTTCCCAGTTGTCAAGGGGGCAGATCAAAGTGGCTTCAGAAATTCTACCATGAGCTTACAGTAGCACTGCAAAGAAAGGAACAAATTCTATTTTAAATACTAACTTGAAAAGGAAACATATATTTCAGTATGTCAAATTTATTCATGGGCATTTACAAATGGCAATAGATTCAAAGGTCAGAAATACTTCACATCTAATGCATCTAATGGAGGGGGGAGAGAAATACTCAAAATGATCTATTTCCTGTATTTAATTTGGGTGGTTATTGTCATGGATGCAAAAGCTAGCATAGGCTATTCTGGTCCTTTCGATGCAAATGGGACTGCTGTCATGAGATACAAATAACCCTACCTGTGTTTGGAGGGAAGTAGAAATGGGCAAAAGTAAAACAAAAAATAACTTGCCCATTAGAAAGTACTTTTTCAAAATTAAAATATAACACTGACATGTTCCCATAAACCTGTGCTTGAACATTTACCACAGCTTGTTTTTGAATTAGACATTATGAATAAGTTTGTGAGTTCTTTTTTTTTTAATTTTATTGAATCAACGTGAGATAGTTACAAGCTTTCATGTTTGGTTACAATCACACAATGATCAAACGCCCATCCCTCCACCAGTGCACATTCCCCACCACCAATATCCCTGGTATACCCCCCCTTTCCCACCCTCCCTCTGCTTCCATGGCAGACAATATTATCCATACTCTCTCTCACTTTTGGGCATTATGGTTTGCAATACAGATACTTAGAAAATATCATGTTTGGTCCATTATTGACTTTCAGCACACATCTCCCACCCTGACCGATTCCTCCAGCCATCATTTTCTTAGTGATCCCTTCTCTATTCCAACTGCCCTCTCCCCTCCACACATGAGGCTGGCTTCCAGCTATGGAGCAGTCCTTCTGGTTCTTGTATCTACTGTCCTTGGGTGTCAGCCTCATGTTATGTTATTTTATACTCCACAAATGAGTGCAATCCTTCTATGCTATCCCTCTCTTTCAGACTCATTTCACTTAGCATGATACTCTCTCTGTCTATCCATTTATAAGCAAATTTCATGACTTCATCTGTCCTAACAGCTGCATAATATTCCATTGTGTAGATGTACCAAAGTTTCTTTAACCAGTCGTCTGTTGTAGGGCACTTGAGTTGTTTCCAGATTTTGGCTATTGTGGACAGTGCTACAATGAACATATAAGCACAGGTGTCATTTCTACTGTGCTTTTTGCATCCTCAGGTGTGAGTTCTTTTAAGACTGGAGCTGGCCACAGTCACCTCTGCATCTATCCCAGAACTGGGCCAGCAGTAGATCCATAATGACTATTCTCTTAATTGATTTGGTTTATTTCCAATGTCCTTGGAATTCTAGGATGACGTTCCCTTGAGGCGGGGAAGAAAGACAACTAAGAAGCGTGAAGAGGAAGTGGACATTGACTTAGATGACCCTGAGATCAACCACTTCCCTTTCCCCTTCCACGAGCTGATGGTGTGGGCCGTCCTGATGAAGAGACAGAAGATGGCCCTGTTTTTCTGGCAGCATGGCGAGGAGGCCATGGCCAAGGCCCTGGTGGCCTGCAAGCTCTGCAAGGCCATGGCTCACGAGGCCTCCGAGAATGACATGGTTGATGACATCTCCCAGGAGCTGAATCACAACTCCAGGTCAGCCAGCCCAACCAACGGGGTGGTCAGGAAAAGAGAAGGGAAGGGGAACCCCAATGTGGACAGTTTGGGCTACCCCAAACTTTTTTTTAATGTAGGGGTACTGCTATTTATTCAGCCACTGATTAGCTGATTGAATTGTGCATGAACCCCACCTTTTTTTTTTCATTTTTTTATAATTTTATTTATTGAATCACCGTGAGAGCAGTTACAAAGCTTTTGGGTCTAAGTCCCGGTCATACAATGAAACACCCGTACCATCACCAGTGCCCATTCTCCACCCCCAACAACACCAGTATACCCCCATCCCACACCCTCCCCCTACCTGTGGGGCAGATGATTTTCACATTACTCTCTCTCTACTTTGGTCAAATTCAATATTCTGATACTAGACCCACCATTGTTATTTGAGATTTTACCCCAACACTCAGATCTGCTGAAAAGGCAACAGTAGACAGTTTGTTTTCTATTGCTGGTTATGAATAACATATGATGTCACGTGCCCGCAGTAGTAGCTGTGCAATTTTGAAATTCCGAAATTTTAACTCTTAAATCTGGAGGGATTTCTGCCAAAACCTGCTGGGTTCCGAGATTTGCTCCTGAGTCTCTGGGATCATGGCCATTAAGCAGCTTGATAAGGAGCCAAAAAGACCGTTCGTGGGCAATAACTTGGGGTCTCATTGGGGTGGGGAGGACAGGACCATCTCCCCCCCCATCCCATGAGGCCCAAAATGTCTCATTACTGAGAGCCCAAACCTAACTGTCCAATGGCCTCTGGAGGATGACAGCCACCAAGCCGCCAGGGGGAAGCAGGTGGAGGGACAACACCCTTTCCCCCCTGGGTGGGCTACCCCAAACTTTACAATGAGGCAGAGGCAGTATTCCCAATGGGACACTCCAGGAGTGGTCACAAATTGTCAACCTTTACAGATAGAGGTACCTATAGAGATTCAGATTTTATTTCATCCTTTCAATTGCCCTGAGATAGGTCCTTTTGCTATGTATATTTTGAAGCTGGAGAAAAGGGGGGAAATTAAGAAACTTGCCATACTTATGGTATGTATCACTGTCACTGTCACCGTCATTCTGTTGTTCATCGATTTGCTCAAGCAGGCTCCAGTAATGTCTCCATTCGTCCCTGTCACGTGCCAGTGTAGCCCAATGGCATACTGGGGGCTCTTTCAGGGTCAGAGGAATGAGGACCATCATTTTTACTGTTTTTGGCATATCAAGTACACAACGGGTAGCTTGCCAGGCTCTGCTGTGTAAGCGGGATTTCCTCTGTAGCTTGTGGGGCTCTCCGAGAGGGGTGAAGGCTATGGGGTTCCAGGAAATACTGCATCACTCTCTTCTGGGAGCTTTGTTTTATAGTCTCTGGGTCTTGGCCATTGATGAGATTACATGGCATGGAGGCAGTTTGTGTGTGTGGCTGCCAAGCTACTGGAAAATGGGGAATCTGGGTGGAGGAGGCCCAGTCCCCATTCGAGCAGGGTTAGAGATCTCAGCCACAGGTCCCGCATACCTGGGTTCCTCTGCCGGTTCCTTCATGTGTGAAGCTTGTGTGAGCATGTGGAGAGTGGCCTATGGTATGCATAAGTCTGTCAAATTAAGAAGACCTACTGTAACCATGTCCCGGTGGGCCCCGGGCGAGCTCGGGGACAGCCAGTTGGGTGGTCGAGAGCCAAGAGCCGGACCCTCGTTTGCCTGAGCACTGAGACGTCGGCTGCAGCCTGGCAGGACCCGCGGCCCCTGCGCCCAGGATGGCCAGGACGTCCTCGGCTGCATCTCTGAGTCACTGGTCAAACCCTCTTGCTCTTCTTCCTGCTCTAGTGCTTTGGGTGCCCCAGAACCATCTGGATACCCCCGAGGTCATGGCTCCCCTCTCTGCTCAGGGTCACGTCACAAGAGAAAAAGGCAATTTTACAGATTTGGGCCATGTAGACACGAGTAGAGTCTTTTCTCTAATGTGGCATGAGGAGTCCTTTTGTAATTTTTTTGGTCCATGCCCCAAAGTACTCTGGCTTGCTCCTGGCTCAGCACTTGGGGATGATGCTGGGGGGTGGGGGTGGGGATCGAACCCGGATCGGGCATGTGCACATGTCAGACGTCCTACCTTCTGTGCTATCTCTCTGGCCCAAGAAGTCCTGTTTTCTTACTTTTCCAACACAGAACATAGCAGCCCTTTCCCGTGAGCTCCGGCCTCTCCTGGGATGGTCAGTCTGAACGTTTCTGCTCTTATCACCACCTGAGTGGTGATAAGACCAGCTGTGAAGGAGGCTCTGGGGTGGGGCCCAGCTGCCCGCAGGCCAGGAAGTGCCCAGGTGCCCTGGGATGGCACCTGGAGAAAACGAGGCTAGAATGAGCAGCCTTCTTATTGAGAAATGTTTTCATCAACTGTTTCTTTAAATCATTTGACATTTTTTTTTTTTTGCTTTTTTGGGTCACACCAGTGATGTTCAGGGATTACTCCTGGTGGTTCTGGGGAACCATATGGGATGCTGGGAATCGAACCCGGGTCGGCCGCGTGCAAGGCAAATGCCCTGCCTACTATCAGCCCTCGATCATTTGACATTTTAAGCTAAATATCCACCCCCTTGTAATTTAATAAATAATTAGCAAGAGCACAGTGGTAGAGCATTTGCCTTGTGTGTAGTCAGCCCAGCCCACCCAGGTTCGATTCCTCCGCCCCTCTCGGAGAGCCCAGCAAGCTACCAAGAGTATCTCATCCGCATGGCAGAGCCTGGCAAGCTCCCCGTGGTGTATTCGATCTGCCAAACACAGTAACAACAAGTCTCACAATGGAGATGTTACTGGGCCCGCTCAAGCAAATTGATGAACAACAGGAGGACAGTGCTACAGTGCTACTATAACCAAATAGCACAGCAGTAGGGCGTTTGCCTTGCACATAGTCAACATGACCAATCCAAGTTCGATTCCCCTGCCCCTCTCGTAGAGCATGGCAAGCTACCAAGAGAATCTTGCCCGCGCGTGAAAGCCTGGCAAGCTACCCGTGACACATTCAATATGCCAAACACAGTAACAACAAGTCTCAAAATGGAGACATTACTGGGCCTGCTTGAGCAAATTGATAAACAAGGAGAGGACAGTGGACAGTGGACTGTAAACACAGTATTGATTTTTTAGTCTGCCTTCTCCACCCCAGGTTGGCCGGGTAGGCTGTGTGTAAGGCAAACGCCCTACCGCTGTGCTATTGCTCCAGCCCTTTCACACGGCCTACCCGGCCAAACCAGGTTCGATTCCTCCACCCCTCTCGGAGAGCCCAGCAAGCTACCAAGAGTACCTAGCCCACACGGCAAAGCCTGGCAAGCTACCTGTGACCTATTCAATATGCCAAACACAGTAACAATAAGTCTCACGATGGAGACGTTACTGGGCCCGCTCGAGCAAATCGATAAACAATGGGAGGCCAGTGCTACAGTGCTACAGTGCCTTCTCCACCCAGATGACTTCAACGGGAGGTCTTGAGCACAGGAGCCGTGCTTTGTTTGCTGTACTCCCCTAGTCTAAACACAGGATCTGGTGCATCAGAGATGCTTAGTCCATGTCTGCTTGATCCACAAATGAGTGAGACAACATAGCAGTCTAGTTGGGCTGGGCCATTGGATCCCCACTTTTGTCCCCCAATTCTCCATGATGGTCTAAAAGACACTTCCTCCCCCCTCTCTCTTTCAGGGACTTTGGGCAGTTGGCTGTCGAGCTCCTAGACCAGTCTTATAAGCAGGACGAGCAGCTGGCCATGAAACTGCTGACGTATGAACTGAAAAACTGGAGCAATGCCACGTGCCTGCAGCTGGCCGTGGCCGCCAAGCACCGAGACTTCATCGCACACACGTGCAGCCAGATGTTGCTCACAGACATGTGGATGGGCCGGCTCCGAATGCGCAAGAACTCAGGCCTCAAGGTCAGTGTGCCCTAAAGGCCCTGTTGCCCTTGAGGACAGAGGGTTGGTTGGAGTCTTCAAGCAGAATCGGCAATAGTTAGGTGTTCTCTGATCCTTGGGTGGCAGCACTCAAGTCCTACTCCACATCACAGATTTTCATATGTGGAGCTATTCTTTACATAGAAGTTAGGGCCTTGGGGCTAGAGCGGTAGTACAGCAGGTAGGGCATTTGTTTTGCACACGGCCGACCCAGGTTTGATTCCCAGCATTCCATACGGTCCCCTGAGCATCACCAAGAGTAACACCTGAGCATTGCAGCGTGTAACCCAAAAAGCAAATTTAAAAAAAAAATCTACCAAAAATAAAAAAAAAAAGGAAAAAAGTTAGAGCCTCTCGGACATTCTAATAAATCAGCACCTCTAGGAATATCACCTAAACATGAATTTTTTCAGAAAATCTGAAATGATGGTCACATTAAAAGACCATTGCTCTTGCACATGTTATTTCCCTGTGACAAAAAGAGACATTTGCTCTTGTCAACTACACTTGAGAAAAAATTTTAACTGAAATTTTAAAAAATGAACTCGATATGTGTAGAGTCACTGCTTATAATGTGACCTACTTTGAAGTGAAGGTTAATAAACTTTAGGTCAGTGGATAGAACCTATGTTCAAGTGAGCATCTTAAAATGAATACATGTAAATTATCAAGTAGATTATTGACGGTGGCTATCTGTAGGATGCAAGGTGTATGAAACCAGATGATAAGTGGCTTGTTGCTTTTTTTGTATTTCCTACGTTCTATATAATATTTTTTAAAAAATTGAACTGAGGTGGGGTCTGGAGTGATAGTACAGCAGGTAGGGTGTTTGCCTTGCACGTGGCCGACCAAAGTTCGATTCCCAGCATCCCATATGGTCACCCGAGCACCGCCAAGAGTAAATCCTGAGTGCAGAACCAGGAGTAACCCCTGTGCATCACTGGGTATGACCCAAAAAGGAAAAAAAAATTGAACTGAGGAGCCAGAGTGATAGTACAGTGAGTAGGGCGTTTGCCTTGCACGCAGCCGACCCAGGTTTGATTCCCAGCATCCCATATGGTCCCCTGAGCACTGCCAGGAGTGATTTCTGAGTACAGAGCCAGGAGTAACCCCTGTGCATTGCCAGGTGTGACCCAAAAAGGAAAAAAAGAGAATAAGAGAAAGTAGCCCCCAAACTTCCCTGATATTACTACTGCCCCCCCGGGACAGTTCCGATGAGCTCTTGCTGTGGTTTCACCCACATTGGGACACTATTCAAGTTTGGCTAGTATAACTGAGTAGGCTCAATTTTCATAGATTTTTCTAATCTAGGCAACTCTGAGGCCAACCCAAAGCAGAAGGGGGCCACCACACTGTTACTAGAGGCCACTGTGACTGAAACACTCCCTTCCTGCCCCCAAGCCCCTTTCTCTTGACCCAGAACTACTGAAGGTTCCTTAAAATGGGTCAGGGGTGTTCCGTGGCCACATCACTAGTAACTTCCAGCCTAGTTCTCAGCTCTCAGGACAGGGTGTAATGTACCTGGAAGCTGCCAGAATGTCACCTGAGCCTTCCTGGGCCTGACAGGCACCATGGGCTTAGGGTCACCACTCTTCTCCCTTTTCCCTTAGCTGATCTCTGTCCCTGTGTGCCTTGGAGCACAGTTCTTCATTACTGGAGGGTCATTTCATCCTAAGTATCCCTGAAAGATCTCTCTTAGCCCCTTACCCTGGTTCTGTTTCTTCAAGGGGGGTTAGATACAGAAGACTGGTACAGGAGAATCATTTAAGTCTGAGGGAAGTTGGAATTTCACCATTTCACCATTCAGAAATGCCACTCATTCATTCCCTGGCAAATGGAGAATGCGATTCTCTTTCAGGAAAAGGGCCCGTGTGTGTAGCAGGTTGACAGCAACGTATGTATACCACCAGTGGCTCACACTTGGATGTGACTTAGCATATTGATATGAGCACTGCATTATGCTAATTAAGCTACACACAAGTGTGAGCTACTGGTAGTATGCACAGCTGGCATCAACATGCTAATTAACACAACTAATTTGCTGGCATCAAGGTATAATGTCGTCGCAAGGAGCTTTAAGCAAGTTTTCTATAGCACTGTCTGTAGCACTGTCCTCCCATTGTTCATTGATTTGCTCGAGCAGGCACCAGTAATGTCTCCATTGTGAGACTTGTTACTGTTTTGGGGGATACCACGGGGAGCTAGCCAAGGTCTGCCATGTGGGCGAGATACCGTTGGTAGCTTGCCAGGCTCTCTGAGAGGGACAGAGGAATCAAACCCAGGTCAGCCACGTTCAAGGCAAACGCCCTACCCGCTATGCTATCACTGAACCCAAGTTGTCTATATTTGAGAGAAATACAGTGCTGGATTTTCTGGCAGCAGTTTTTAAAATTTTATTAGTGAAACCATGAGGTACAGTTGTAGACTTACAAACTTCCATGTTTGGGTTTCAGTTATACAATAATCAAGTACCCATCCCTCCGCCAGTGTCTGGCAGCATTTTTACAATGGCATTTTGATTGTGAGATGGTGAATCCAGAACCCATGTAGTGTGTGAGTGTGTGTGTGTGTGTGTGTGTGTGTGTGTTCCTGTGAAAGGGAGAAAAGTGGTATGGGGGTTTAGTTGCAAACACCAGGGGATACTGTATAATAAACAGGATGCTTCCTGCATGGGCTTTCTCAAGGTTAACTAGGAGGGGCATTTTTTACAAAGAGAGTCAGATGACTGGCATATGGTCAGCCCCACTTGACACATTAGCAACTAAACACCAGTGCTCATACACAGAAATTGATTCCACCAAAGTAATGCTATATAATGACTAAATGGGCAATCTAATTCTTTATTATTTTTGCTTTAGTTGGGGGTCACATTTTCCTCATTTCTCCCATGCAAAATGACTATTAATCAGGAAAGATGTATTTGGATAATATGCTATATTTTTCTCTGGGGCTGGAGTGATAACATAGTGGTAGGACATTTGCCTTGCACACGGCCGGCTCGGCTGACCCAGGTTTGATTCCTCCACCCCTCTCAGAGAGCCTGGCAAGCTACCGAGAGTATCTCACCTGCACAGAAAAGCCTGGCAAGCTACCCCTGATGTATTTGATATGCCAAACACAGTAACAACAAGTCTCAAAATGGAGATGTTACTGGGCCCGCTTGAGCAAACCGGTGAACAATGGGAGGACAGTGCTACAGTACTATATTTCTCTAAAATCAGGCTGAACTACTACCTAATGATTGTATTTAGTCATTCAGAGAGCCACACCCTATCTGTGTGCACACGCATGCAGACATAAACACCAGACCCCAGGCCCTCTGATTCTAAGCAATCCCCCTGATCTTAATCCTTTAAATGTGATGATTATTATTATCATTATTATTGCTTTAGGTAATTCTGGGAATTCTACTTCCTCCTTCAATTCTCAGCTTGGAGTTCAAGAACAAAGACGACATGCCTTACATGTCTCAGGCTCACGAAATTCATCTCCAAGAGAAGGAGCCAGAGGAACCAGAGAAGCCCTCGAAGGAAAAAGACGAAGAGGACATGGAACTGACTGTAAGAAATGACCCGCAGTAGATGGTCCCTGAGGAGTGCTCCCCGTCTGTCTGTCCTAGTGGCATGGCTTGAGATGTGAGAACCCCTGGGGACAGCCTCCCTGTAGATGCATTCCTTTAAGTTTTTTTTTAATTAATTTTTTTTATTAGTGAAACACCATGAGGTACCCTTATCACGATCACGATCACGATCACGATCATCCTGTTGTTCCCCAATTGCCTCGAGCAGACACCAGTAACGTCTCCTTCTTCCTAACCCTGAGATTTTAAAAGAGCCATATTCAAGGCTTTTTCAGGGTGAGGAGAATGAGACCCATCATTGTTACTGGTATTTGGCATATTGGGTACGCCACGGGGAGTTTGCCAGACTCTGCCGTGTGGGCAGGTTACATTCGACAGCCTGCCAGGTTGTCCAAAGTAAGAAAGAGATAATAAGATGTCAGCTTCCAGGAGCTGGGTTTTATAGTCTCTGAGTCTTGGCCGTTGATGGGATTACACGACGCCAGGGGGCCAGTTAGTGGGTGTGACCGTTATAGACTTACAAATTTTTGTGCTTGGGTTTCAGTTATACAATGATCAAGTACCCATCCCTCCACCAGCGCCCATCCTCCACCACCACGGCTCCCAGCATCCCTCCCACCCCCTATCCCCCCATCCCACCTGCCTCTGTGGCAGGTCCTTGAAGTTTTGAGAGCAGAGTCATTTAAACAGCCTTCCTGTGCACGAAGAACATGATGATAGGGACCAATTCCGTGTGCATTCCTTGCGCTAGAGTCACTGGTGCGGAAACACTCAAGGAAATTCAGAACCACGGCCCTCGTAAATTTTCCAAACAGGCAAGGCTCGTCATTCCCCAGGTGAGCTGGCGGCCTCAGCCACTGAGAAGGAAAGACAGGCAGGGCCTGGGCAGCAGCTGGCTTCCCTAAGCTGAAACTGCTCAGCTGATGATGAGAAGCCTCTGTCTGTTTTGGGGGTCAGGTTCACAAATGCAGGACTAATTGAATTTTGAGGTCTGTATGGAAGGTTTTTATTAGCTCTTCCCGGTATAATTAGAGTGCATGGATGCTTTGTTCTGCAGAGGAATGGGGCAGCTGGGCATGGGACTGCTTCCCACAACCTCCGCCTGAGCAGCGTGACTGCCGCTGGATTGATTCCAAAGTCTAAAAATATCAAATGCAGCAAAAGGGACAAACAAGCTCCATAGCTTTGAAGACACCAAGTGACAACTTCACAGGACTTCCTGGCTCTTCCCCCATCCTCCCTACCACCCTGCCCATTCACCGCGGTGACCCAGAAGTTCTAAGGTTGAGAAAACAAAAATTGGTTTGGCTCAGGTGATAAAAGGCCTTTGCGTTAGGATCCTAGTGGGACCGCCCTGTGAATAGTTCTTCCTCCAGATAAATAAGATTTCCTTGCAGCAGGCCTTTCCTAAAAATCTATTTTCAGGCACAAGCTGAGCCCCAAGTATAGCAGGGCACATACATATATATAGATAGATAAACATGGAACCACTCCTTTGATTGAGTCATCATTCAGAGCTTTTTGGCTTGAGTGAAATGTCAGTGTTTCCTTTCAGTTTCAGGATTTTTCTAAAAAATAAGTGGAAGAATGTACTTACCTCTGTGACGGGAATAGGTGATGGTCTTCTCGAACTATCTTAGAATAATCTTAGCCTTTGAGCTCCTTCTGAAATAGGAAGTGGGATTTTGATCATTACCCAAAATGTGGTGGCAGGAAAGCCATCTGTTGAAAATTTCAGTGGAGAAGCAAAAAATGTGCCCTGAAAGCAGAATCTTGCCCCATCGCCTACCATTCAGACATCAGACAGTTTCTAAACCTCTATCATAGGAGCTATAACATCATCTAGCTCAAAGTATATCTATAAACTCTGTAGACAGGTACCCAGCACAGGCAAACCTTGATAGCTGTTTGCTAATATTGTTATAATGATAACTGCCTTTGCATACTGTTCCTCGTGGAATCCTCGCAACCATCTTCTGAGTTCAGTGCTCTTATTAACTCATTTAACATATGAGAAATCAGAGACTCCTTAATTTCCCGAAGTTATACAGTTGCAAAAATCTGGATAAGAATTGAGACATGGAGACTCCACTAGCCACAGTTTTAACTGATAGGCTCGAGAGATTTAAATTTCATTTAAATGAAAATTTAAATTTAAATTTTCCATCCTTTGGGCGATGCATGCTGAAAGTAGACTATAGACCGAATATGATTGCAACTCATTGCCTCTTTTGCAAACCACAGCACCCAAAAGGGGAGAGAGAACAAAAGGGAATGCCCTGCCACAGAGGCAGGGTGGCATGGGGGTGGATGGGGGTGGGAGGGATACTGGAATCAGTGGTGGTAGAGAATGGGCACTGGTGGAGGGACGGGTACTCAATCATTGTATAACTGAAACCCAAGCACAAAAATTTTTAACTGTACCTCATGGTGTTTCATAATAAAACTTAATAAAACTTAATAAATAAATAAATAAAATTTTCCATCCTAGAGGCTATAGAGATAGTACTAGGGTGAAGGCACTTGCAGACCATGCTATTGACGCCAGTTCAATACCAAGCACTACCAGGAGTGAATGATCCCAGAGCACAGAGCCACTGAGCACCACTGAGTATGATTCAAAAAACAATAACAGCAACAACCACAAAAGCTTTTTTTTTTTTCATCCTAAACCCAAATGTAGGCACTTAGTGTGATCTTATCAATCGAATACCAAAGAGACTTCAGGAATTTTGAAATGGCCTCGTCATAGGCACATCCTCTAGGGAGGCAGCTAGTGGGGAATCAGCATTATTTCTGGTTTAGGATCTAAAGGAAGGAAACAAAAAGGATGGTTCCCTTCTTTTCTAAGTCTAGAGCTTTGAGGCTTGATCCTTCAAGAAGCCATGAAAGAGCGTCTCTAGATTCAGAGCAAATTTAGCTTGCCAGACAAGAGGCCCTGGTTTGTTTACTGAAACCTTGTGGCAAACTCCACAAGAGTATGCTTGCCTGAGCTTCATCTGCACAGCCAGCAGAGACAAGGAAAGGAGGGGAGGACTGGGCTGGCCGCACTGGACTTCAGCACAGCATCGTTGGATCAGAATTTCCTTTCACTCTAAGGAACCTGTCTCTACTACAGCAAGGTCCTAGCTGTTTTGGATAGAATTGGAGAAAACGTTTGTTGAGATCTCTACCCCTTTTTATAGGATTGGTATTTGAGCTTCTGTGTTACTAATCTATCCTCTCATGAAAATGTATGCTTTCCGTTGTCCTTTCCAAAACTATACACAGTTCCCGCCAGAGTTTGCCTCATTTCAGTAGCCGTTAGGAGTTCAGTTCACCTCAAAAGATCTTTCTCAGACTTGGCATCCGTGTTCATCCAGCAAAGATTCTCAAGTTTGTATTGTAGACTTTTGCCTGCTTTTGACTCTGTTCATTCTTCTGTAGGGAATGTCATCAAAGGAAATGTTTAACTACTGGGAAAAGAAATCAGCAAAATCAGCAAGATAAGCTGCTTAGGCTAGAATTAATGAAATGTCAAAAAATGCTTTACTTAAACCCATGAAAGACAGTCCTGAAAATACACTTACTTTGGAATATATATGAATAGTTAAGGCAAAACAAATTGTATTTTTGTTCTTATTTTACCTGAACTGACAGATAAATATCTTTCACTTTGCATAATAAAGTTTAAATATGACCATAGACCCAAAGTTTTCTTATAGACCTTTCAACAGTTTCTGACCCTAGAGTTTACCTACTTTAGGTATCTGAAACCCTCCTAGCTACCTTAAATCACATCTTATTGTGTTCCCCAAGGCATTGTACTGTGTTATATATAAATATATATAATTTATATATGTAGGATAATTATGTTACATAAATTATGAATTACAAAGAGACAAATATCATGTAACCTAAGAGTTTCATGAGGTCAGTGATCAATATTTATAGGACTCATTGCTTGTCTACTGAACTAATCCATCACAAAGATTGATTAGACTCACTGATCAAAATAAATGCTTCCATTGGCTGGAATATGGAATGCTACCTATTCATTAACTCAAGGTACTTTTCCAGCCAGAAGGTTCATAAAGGAATGAAAGTCACGTCACCCTCCTCAGAAATCCCAAAGGTTATAGCCAAATCATTGGAAATTGTTACAACTTTGAGTTAAGTTATCTTTGAAGTCCTGACAAAAATAGTTTAAACTATAATCTGTATGTTTAGTCAAGGTAGTTTCAAATGAGAATTATCTAGTGGATGTCCCTGTTCTCAACTTTGGGAAAAAAAAAAAAACTTAAAGCACTTCTATAATTAGAGCTCTCTACTTTAAACTCCTATTTCTAGGACTTTTCCTCATTCCAAATCCTTGTCACTCTCTAAGCAGTTATAAAGTTTCACCCTATTCACACATTTAATAAAAATTTCACTTCCCAAACACTGTAGAACTAACTTTATCTTAAGATAGTATTGAATAAACTCAAGAAATTATGCAGTGATAGACCCATACTGGCATTAGCTGCTCATGTGAGTGGGGTTAAAGGTGGGGGAGTGGGGTGATCTGGCAGGAGATCAAACTAGATTATCTTGGAGCTGGAGCAATAGCATAGCAGGTGAGGCGTTTGCCTTGCATGCGGCTGACCCAGGTTCGATTCCCAGCATCCCATATGGGCCCCTGAGCACCGCCAAGGGTGATTCCTGAGTGCAGAGCCAGGAGTAACCTCTATGCATCACTGGGTGTGACCAAAAAGCAAAAAAAACAAAAAACAAAAACTAGATTATCTTAGTCAAGTAACAGGAATATTTCATTTTACTTTAAGCTCAATAGACAACACCAGCTTTGCACACAGGAGGCCCAAGATTTAACCCAAATACAGTGGGGTGTGGCCCCCAAATCAAAGCAAAACAAAACAAAAAGTAACTATAAAAACAAAAATATAGAAAACTATAAAAAAAATACTAGCTGAAAAAAATGCTATAGAAAGTATAGAAGAACGTATACGGAAGATGGTCTAGAGGCTTATAATAAAGTACCCAGGACAAGTGTAAGGTTGTGCACTTGGTCCCTGGAACCCAAAGCATGCATGACGGGATCCTGGAGAGCCACACTGTCTCGGGACCCTCAGCAGGAATGGTTCAAAATAAAACACAGGGTGGTAGATATAGCCCAAAGGGGCCAGAGCACATGCCTGACATAGACAGGGTCCCAGGTTGTTCCATTCCTACCATCACCAGTTTTATTTATTTTTTTTTAATTTTTATTAATGAGACACCATGAGGTACAGTTGTAGACTTACAAATTCTTGTGCTTGGGTTTCAATTATACAACCATCACCAGTTTTAGAACATAACCCTGAGCATCACCAGTTTTAGACCTAGAGGTCCTGCAACACCAGTGGGAGTGACACCCTACCTCTTCCATCCCCCCCCCCAAAAAAAACCCAGAAAAATGAATGTTTAATGATTACTCATTAATAAGTACTCCAGATACTGATTGATTTGGAGACCAGGCCTTCAATAGGTACTGCCATTGTCCCCCCCTATTTCTGTTCAAGAAACCTACTCTCAGGGAGGTGAAAAGAGTCACCTAAGTGCCATGGATTCCAAGTGTCAAGTTAGGATTCAGTGCCCTTCGGAGGCAGCCCTAGCCTGGAACTCTTTTATCATTAGGATCTATGATCTGCTTTGGGGCATCCTGTCTCTTGCCACACAAAGTGCCAAGTGATTGCCTCTTCTCAAAAGTTGGCCTTCTAGAGCAATGCTCACTCATTCAAGTTATTGTTGTTTCTGGCATTGTAGTGATTGAGAGGGAAAAAATGCATGCTTATGAAAATCTTCAGTAGCTTAGGAGTTGGGGCAGGCCAGTCTGGACTTCTGGTCTCTCCTCATCCACTCCTGCCAGGAGCATCAAGAAGAATACAGACCAGCAGTCATGAAATTTCACAGCAAATCTAGTCATATGCTGAAGGTCTGGGGGAAATGTTCCCACCTTGCTGAACTCTAGGCACTTCTGCTAACTTAACCTCTTGGATACCCAAAATCTTTGGATACCTTACTGGCCCAAATTACCTTTTAGTTTAGAGTTCTTCGCATAAATAGAGGCTAAGTTCAAACCCAGAAAACCTTCCTCAGGTTATGCATGAAGAGAGAGGGTAAGGAAAGACAAGTTCCTGGTTTCTCGGGCTATACACATTTCCTCTCAGCAAGACTATCCCTGCTATCTATAGTCCAGAGTTCCCCAGATGAATGAGATGAGACTTATCAAAAAATACCCCCAAGGTTTTCCCTCCCAGGCAAAACCAAACAAACAAGAATCACCATCCCTGCTCCAGTTCGTTGCTTCTATGTATACTACAAATAGCATGTAGGAAAAGCATGTATCCATCTCTAGGGGCCTTGGACCAAGCACTTGCATTCTAAGAGCATCTTTCCTTATCAGCAGAATGAACACAATGCTCTCTGGAGCCCTGCCATGATGATATCAATTCTCTTCCATTATAGGCAATGTTGGGAAGAAACAGCGGGGAGTCCTCCAGGAAGAAGGATGAAGAGGAAGTTCAGAGTAGACACCGGTTAATCCCCCTAGGCAGAAAAATCTATGAATTCTATAATGCACCTATCGTAAAGTTTTGGTTCTACACGGTAAGCATCTTTCCTTTGCTTCTTGCTAATGAATGAATGCAGAGAACCCGGGTCACCACCTCCTACACTGGGGCAGTTTCCTTGGCCAGTCCTCTGAGGACCACCAAGGCAGGGATGAAAACTGTCGACCTGGCTTTTCCAATAACTTTGCAAGAGGTGTGGAGTTTGTGAGGCAGCTTCTGTGGTTTCTGCATTTTCGTCCTTGCAGAAAAGCGAGGAAAAGGTAAAAGTGAGAACTAACAGAAATAGAAGTGAGAGGAGTATGAGTAGAGTCTAGCAGGAAAATGCATGTCCTTTTACAAAACAGTTTTGTGTTCTGAGTTGGTGAATGCTAGATCAGAGGTGCTCTGTTTAGATGCCTATCGTGGGCAGGGGGCACATTTGGCGGGTCAGAGTTAATAGAGTGTTAAAAAGTAACACCACTCAAGATGGGTAACTCAAATGCCCCCTAGCCCCAACCTGATAGTTTCACCAAACACCCTTTTTCTTTTTTATTATTTTTTTTCTCTGACACAATACTGTGTAACCAATTGGCAAATTTTATTTAGTTCATTGCAAGCACATCCTGCAAAACTTTTCTGTCCACAGATGAAAGTGTGTCCCTAAAACAGTCTCCTGATATGGTAGAATGACTCAACTTTTGGCTCTATGCCTCAATTTTCCATGATATTCTAAGCTTGAGGTGAGCTTTCTCGGCTTCTCTCCAGCATGGTGGAACTGGGCCACATGAAGGATGGGGTGCCTGGATTCTGGATCTTTCCCACAGCTACTGTGTCAGCTGAATCACCAACATGCCCCCCTGACTCTCCACCTCAGCTGTGCACCCCTATGCCCTGTGTCTATCTTGAGTGCTACTTGAGCTTGGCTTTTTTCAAACAAGGTTTTCTCAGCCTCAGCACTCGTGACATTTGGGACAGAACTTTTCTTGATGGGTGCAGTTGTCTTGTATATTTGAAGCATGTTAATCAGCATCCCTGGCAAATACTAGATGCCAATAGCACTCTTGAGCCCCAAGTGTGACAACCAAAATGTCTCCAGACATGGCCAAATGTCCTGTGGGTGGGATAAAATCATCCCAGTGGAAAACCGCACTCTAGAAAGAGGGAAATAATCAAAATACAAATAGTAGGTTTTTTAAAAAATGAAGTGAAAACTCAAATGATTAATGTTCAGAAGGAAAAGAAATTCTTCCTCAAAGCAAACAACTAGGCAGGCAAAATTCATACCTATTTATAGAGATGATGTAATTCTATATTCTTACTACGTTGCAGAAAACAACTGAGTGGTGACATGCAGGTACTTTGGAGTCAGACAGCCTGCGTAGGAAGGCTGTCTGAGTCTCCTAGTATCATTGTGCGACCATAAGCAAGTTACTTTAACACTGTGTCCCCACTTTCCTTAAGAATAGTACTTACTTGTAGTGTTTAATAAAGATCAAATGTGTTAAAATATGTAAAGCACTTTGAACAGTGCCTGGAGCATCGAGGCATAATACAACTACAATGCTGCTGCTATTCCTAGACTGGCAGTTTGACACAGCAATACTCAGTGTTTCATCCACCCCTCCACTCAACCACATTGTAACATCGTTTATCAAACACCTACTATGAGACACTCTTAGGTGCTAAATTTTATTCAGATGCTATTTTCCATGTGCTTTCCAACCAGGTCTGTACTTTCTCTTACAGTATAATTCCCCGATTGTTTCAACCTGGCGCAGAGCTTGAAAACTGTAACCCAGAGGCCAGATCCAGTCGACTGCTGATTATTTGTGGCCTAGGAACAAAGAATGGTCCTTGTTTCTAGGGTTGAAATAAAATTTTAAAATACCTTAGGACAGATGGAAATGATAAGAAATTCTCATTTCAGTGCCCACAAATAGTCTGATTGGATCACAGCCAGAGTTATTTGTATGCCAGTAATCTGATTGCTTTTTGTGCTCTAACCTTAGAGATGCTTAGTTGCACTAAAGACTATCTGGCCTCAGGGCTTTTAAGAATTAACTGGCTGGAGCCAGAGAAATAACTCAGTAGACTGAGTGCATGCTTTGCATATGGGAGGCATGGGTTTGATCCCCGTAACCGCATGGTGTCCTGAGCATCACTGGGGGTACCACCTATATTCTGCTAGGCATTGCCTCCAAACAAACAAACCATATTCCACTGGATTCTACTCCCAGATTTTGATTGTCATTGCTCTGGGTCATTATGATGTTTCTATGATTCTAGTTGGCTATAATGAGTAGTCCTGGTAAAGAGCCACTGTCCCGTTGGCAAGACAATGCAGGGATTCTGGAGCTTACCCTGCATGCAGCTAATGCTGGCTCGATCCCAGAAACTACATGTGATCCTCTGAGCACCACAAGAAGTGAATCCTGAGCAGAGCCAGCAGCTGAGCCTAAGCACTGCTGAGTGTGGCCCCAAACCCAATAATTAAAAAAGTAGGTAAAAAAATCCATAAACAGAAAAAATAAAGAACCATTGCTCCAGATAATGAGGGTGACTTTTAGAACAGTTTTTAAAAAAAAAAAACATATCCATGTTGATAAGGGTTTTGTTCAAAATTCAAATTCCCTAACCCTTCAAAAACTCACTAAATCAAACCTTCAAAAAGGAATTTGAGGGTTCTGAGTTTACCAAACTTCCCAGTTTACCAAACTTTCTGGTGTGCTTGGCTTGTATCACATGTGGGAGGCCGCCATGGTGCCTGTAGGAAGAGTGGAGTCTGTGTGTCCGGCTCCTTTTTCCATGGCTGCCTGAGTCAGCCACACCAGCCGAGACTGTATGCCTCAGTCATGTTCCATTATGTTCATACATAGAATTCAGAAAATCATATTTATGTACTGACACAGTCCAGCCTCAAGAAAGTGAATGAAGAGGAAGACATTTCCTAATATTTTTAAATCCTCCAATATTTGACAAGAAGACTTGGTCTTAGATTAGCAGTTTCAGTTACTGTCATTCATTTCTTCATAAGAGTACTTCCCAGAAGCTCAGATAGAGAAGGGAACACCAAGTAAAGGGCGTTGGGAGGATTCTCCCAGGATGGGAGAAGCATGCTTAAAGTAGACAATAGACCAAACATGATTGTCACCCATTGCCTCTTTTGCAAACCACAACACCCAATAAGAGAGAGAGAACAAGAGGGAATGCCCTGCCACAGAGGCAGGGTGGGATGGGGGGGATGGGGGGGTGGGAGGGATACTGGGATTTGTGGTGGTGGGAAATGGGCACTGGTGGAGGGATGGATATTTGATCATTGTATAATTGAAACCCAAGCACAAAAAATTGTAAGTCTACAACTGTACCTCATGATGTCTCACTAATAAAAATTTTTTTAAAAAGTACTTCCCAGAGCCAGAAAGATATCACAGTGAGTATGGCACGTGCATTTCACACAGTAAACCCAGGCTCGATCCCTAGTACCCCATATTGTCTATAAGTCCCACTAAGAGTGAACCCTGAGCACAGAGTCAGGACAAAGCCCTGAGCATCACTGGGTGTGGCAAAACAAAAACAAAAACATAAGAGTATTCCCCACCCTGATTTCTTATAAACTTAGTGCCGTCTCTTAGCAAGTTTCCTGGGGAGCAGGTTAGGTTCCTTCTGTTCCAAAAAGAAAGCAGGCAGAAATCCAACTGGCTCCCACAACCAGTTGTGATGAGAATCCATTTCAAGTACCCAGTTGGAGAAGATGCCAATTGGAGGCATGAAGTGCACTCTGGGCCTCTCCAGCAAGACAGACTCCTTCCTGGTAACATCCCCACCCCCGTTCGCTCTCCAGGGACAGCAAAAAAAGGCCTGGGAAGAAGTGAGGAATGGTGAAGTCTCACCAGGAATCCATGGGACACCATAGCAGCTTTGCACTGCATTTTCTAAGTGCAGGAATTAGGCATCTTGATTAACAGGAATTATCTTTCAAATATACATAAGCACATAAAATATAAATTTTCAAGGGAGTCCCACTCATACTAGAATATCTTTGTTGTTGGGGCTGGAGTGATAGCACAGCAGGTCAGGCGTTTGCCTTGCACATGGCCTGACCCGGGTTCAATCCCAGCATCCCATATGGAATTACCCCGAGCATGGCCAGGAGTAATTCCTGAGTGCATGAACCAGGAGTAACCCCTGTGCATTGCTGGGTGTGACCTCCCCCCCCCCAAAAAAAAAGAATATCTTTGTTGTTTTTGTTTTTTGTGCTACACCCAAAATTTCTTAAAATTATGTTTGTATTCAGAACCTTGATATACTACACAGAACTTGTTCAAGTTCATGCATACAAACACACACTATTAAAACACCCCATAGAAAGTCTTTTAAGGCCCCATAAATGTTGTTGGGTTCTTAGAACTCAACTTGCTTCAAAGACAGCAGTTCATCCTCTGTGTGCCATTGAAATATGGTTAAAACTCCATTTTCAGAAGTCCGCGTATTGTTAATTGTCCACAAACATAATTATAGCCTGATTTTGGAAAGACAGGGTTACTTTAGAGTCTACTGTGATTTAATGAAGAAGTAGGAGCTAAAAATGATGAAAGGATCAGAGGTGTGAATGGTTAATAGGGGACCGAGAAGAAACAAGGAATAAGGTAAGAAGAATCAAGAGGAATAAAACTTATTCAAAAAACAATGAGTAATATCAGCCGCCACTCATTAGATGTTTATCAGAGGATAAATACATATTTTCCCTACACTACCTCCCCAAACTCAATAAAATCAAGTGTAATCATGCCAGTCACCACATGGAGGTGAGGTGATCTGTCCAGAATGGAATATCATGGAAGTCCAACCGGTGTTTTGAGTTTCACTGACTTCATTTCAGTATTCCTTCCACTGAACATTAATACATTCCCCCCAACAAATACACTAGAACTGTATTCAGAGCACAGAGAAAGTTAAATACTAAAATGCAGAGATTCTAGGATTGTGGGCCTGTACAGAAGAATTGTCACTGGACTGACAGGTGACAAGAGAATATTATGCCTTGTAGTAGTTTGCAATGAGTTGGGTAAAATAATAAAACTGGGCAGTCAACAAGATTCATTTCACCTAGAAGAAATGGAGTTTTCTTGAACAAACAGAAGGAAGCAAAGGAGAGAGGATTTTCAAGTCACAAAAAAGTTGGGGACCTATTTTAGAGACAAATTTTGTATTTTACAAAATCCATTACTCGTAGGGGCTGGCAAAAAAAAAAAGCCAGTGTACAATGATAAATAGAAGCCATGTGAACAAAATTATATTTTAAACAGCATCCTACACAGTCTGAAACAGAGCACACTCATGGAAGGTAGAGTTTCCACAGTCTGCTTGTGATTGTGAAGGTGGGGAGGGGAGGAATAGCAACCTGGGATCATGATCTGTCCAGAAAGGATAGTTCAAGAGCACATCTCTCAGCTGGAGAGAGAACCCTCCAGCATCAAAGTTGCCTGATTGTTTCCACACCTCATCATGATGCCATTGAACTCTGATGCATTACCATTCAAGAGATGAGCATTGTGTAACTGGAACACAAGCACGAAAGTTTGTATCTCGTGGTGTTTAATAAAAAAAAATTTTTTTAAAAAGATGAGGGAATCATGTGATTGTATCAGTAAGTGCATGAATGTAATTGGGGCTCAGAAAATATATTTGAGTCATATTCAGAATCTATTCATTTACCCCAAAAAAGTAAGAAATAAAAAGAAGAAAGATGGTGAACCATTTAGAGCAAGCAAATTTTCTCTAGCTCTGTGGAAGCTCCATTCTGTACCTTCTAGACACACTTTATCCACGTTTGCAGCTCTCTCCACTTCAGATCCCCCCAAACCTTCAGAGTCTCAACCCTTTGGCCTCCATCACATCCTGTTCTTTGCCCAATGGCTTGGAAGAGTGCAGAAGACTGGAACCAACTCAATCATAGTTCCTAAACTGCCTCAATCATCTTATTCAACCTGAACACTCTTCTAGAGAGAATTTAAACACACACACACACACACACACACACACACACACACTCGTACATATGTCATTATCCCTAAGATGGATCCTTTCCCAGGAGCTTCTGAGACCTTTAAGTAAACCCTCTCCAATTCCCCTGCATGTCACTCCTGGGAACATTACTGGATCTTCAGGTGACAGTTATCAAGTCCAAGAAGTTCTCCTGCAAGCTATCCACTCCACTTCCATCCAAGTTCCCACGAGCCCTCTGAGAATGACACATCACTCCAAGTCACAGCAGGCCACACATACTCACACTTTTCTATAGACTGCTTGGTTTCTCTTACTCTGTTTCAAAGAAGCAGAAACCAGGAGGCAGTATGACAACTTGCACAGGGCAGGAAAATGGTGCAATGGGAAATGGGTAAAGCCCTCCCACGAATTAAGAATACTAAACATATTGAGGCAGGAGAGAAAAAAGGAAAAAACAAAACATTAACTCAAAAGGAAATGAAAGTCCAAGTTATCTTCATGTCACTATGAACAATTTGCAGTTACAGTGTTTCCCAGAGCTGATCTTGCCATTGAACATTTAATCTTCTGGGCATACGTTAGGCAAAAACCCATTGTCCTGGCTTCATTCAAGAAGCTTGTGCAATGGCAGCCCCTCAGAGAAAAGATTGCTATTTAGCCAGAAAGATTTTTTTAAGTAAATAATTGCTTTAAATGCCAAACACAGTAACAACAAGTCTCACAATGGAGACATTACTGGGCCCACTGGAGCAAATCAATGAACAAAGGGAGGACAGTGCTACAGTGCTATAATTGCTTTAAGATACGTCGCAGCCTTGGCACAAAGTTCTGACCCAGAAACATATGTAAGGGTCAAAGGAAACTTCGTTGTAAAGTACGTCCAACGTTGCCCTCTTTTCTGGTTCATTTGATAGCTTAGAGCTTTTAGTTCATTTCACCATGAATTCCTCATCCTTGCTGACCATGCTCTCTCGGTTTTGTGTGGTGGCCTTCCCAAGGGCAGGGATCTGGGTGTCCGCAACTGGAGCTCTGTCTTGTGTTTCCTTACAGCTGGCTTACATCGGATACCTGATGCTGTTCAACTATATCGTGTTAGTGAAGATGGAGCGCTGGCCATCCACCCAGGAATGGATCGTCATTTCCTATATCTTCACCCTGGGAATAGAGAAGATGAGAGAGGTAAACCACTTCTCCTGAAAGTGCGCAGAGGAGAAAAACGGTGTTCAAGAGGGTCTGTGGACAGGAGGAAGTGGGAGGCCAAATAAAGCCAGGCACTGTTTTGACAGTGCTGCCTCCAAATTCCCGAACTGATCTTGAAGACTCCTTTCCCTCCCCAAACCTCTACTTGTCTTCTCTTTTTAAACAGCCGTCTTTGAATTTTTTTTTTTTTTTTTTGCTTTTTGGGTCACACCCGGAGATGCACAGGAGTTACTCCTGGTTCATGCATTAGTAATTCCTGGTTCAGGAATTACTCCTGGCGGTGCTCGGGGGACCATATGGGATGCTGGGAATCGAACCTGGGTTGGCTGCGTGCAAGGCAAATGCCCTACCCGCTGTGCTATCGCTCCAGCCCCTTTGAATTTTTTTTTATTTTAATTTTTTATTTTCGGGCCACATCTGGCTGTGCTCAGGGATCACTCCTGGTGGGACTCAGGGAACCACAATATGGTTAACTGGGGTTGGAACCCGGGTCGGCTGTGTATAAGGCAAGTGTCTTGTACTATTCCCTATCACTCCATTCCCCCTTTTCCCGTTTTTGAGGCATTTCAGTCAGAGGGTTTCCCTGATGCTGAGAATTTCATCCATTTTCTTCTAACAGCTTTGCAGTTGTGTCTTCCACTAAATACAGTTCTCCCCCGCCCCCCCCCCCCCCACCCCGTTTGTCCCTATAAACACATCCTCGACATTGTTCAAGTTTTGGAGTCTTTTTTTTGGGGGGGGGTGGTCACACCCGGCATTGCACAGGGGTTACTCCTGGTTCATGCACTCAGGAATCACTCCTGGCGGTGCTCAGGGGTCCATATGGGATGCTGGGATTCGAACCCGGGTCGACCGCGTGCAAGGCAAACGCCCTACCCGCTGTGCTATTGCTCCAGCCCCTTTTGGAGTCTTTTTTAAAAACCTTTTCATTCGTTAACTCCCATGGTAACCCCTCATTCTGAGTTCTTTTGCACGCGGTCCACCCACACCTGCAGTTCACAGGGTGCTTTTCTGCAGCTCCGGGAAGAACAGAATAAGGCTTTTTTCATGCAACGCTGTGCCTCTGCTTTATTTCTGCTTAACCGTTTGCATGCATGCGTTCCAGCACCAAGGTGAATCTAGCTCTTTTTTTTTCCCATCCATTGGGGCAGAGGATATATGATGCCCTGATTTCTCAGTCCACTCCTCTTGCCTAAAGGAAGTCTATAGCTACTGCCGCCACCCAGGAGGCTTCTGAAGGCAAAGCAAGGCGTTAGGCTGAATGTGGCACGACTGTCCAGCAGGGGGCTCTGCAGCCCTGCTCCTGCGCTGGGCACTCGCCTTTTCTGGAGGCTAATGCCAGGAGGCAGGTCTGCCCGCTGACTCCAGGGGCCTTCCCCTACTCCTGCTTGCCTTTCGGGAAAGAAGGGTCTCTTTCTAAGGCACTGCCCTCCCAAGCACTCTGGAAGGATCCTAGTTCTCGTTAGGGAGTTGAGGTTAGGTAGGGGTGGAGGAGGTTTAATAGTTTGGATCTGTAGGAAAAGGATTGTTTTTTTTTTTTTAATCTGCAAATGCACGGTGCTGTCTTATCATGAAAACAAGTCCTTAAATCTTGGTGGAAAATGGGCACTGGTGGAGGGATGGGTATTTGATCATTGTATAATTGAACCCCAAGCACAAAAGTTTGTAAGTCTACAACTGTACCTCATGGTGTTTCACTAATAAAAATTAAAAAAAAAAAAATCTTGAGGTCCAGAGAGGAAAACTGAGAGTCAGTTACAGGCAGTCAATTGAGAGGTAAGTAGGTGAAATGCTGATAGAAAAACAAACAGGGGCTGGAGCAGTAGCACAGCGGGTAGGGCGTTTGCCTTGCACGAAGCCGACACGGGTTCAATTCCCAGCATCCCATATGTTCCCCCGAGCACCGCCAGAAGTAATTCCCGAGTGCATGAGCCAGGAGTAACCCCTGTGCATTGCAGGATGTGACCCGAAAGGCAAAGAGAAAAACAAACAGGTGGGTGGATGGATGGATGATAAAGAGGTAGACAGATGGATAAATAGATAAGTAGAGCAGCTCTTCTCAAGTTTTTTTGTTTAAATTTTGTTGTTGGGGGTGGGGGTTGGGCCATGGGCCACACCTGACAGTGCTCAGAGCTTACTCCTGGTTCTGTGCTCAGGGATCACTCCTGGAAGTGCTTATGTACTATAGGGAGTGCTGGGGATCGAACCCAGGCTGCATGCAAGGCATCATGATTTGCTTTTTTTAAAAAAAAATAAAAATTAGAAACAAAACTGCTTGGGGATATTTAAATTCTAACTGGGAAAGCTCCACCCTGAGAATCTAGAGAGGGCTCATGTGTCCCATTTAGGCATGGGTTATTATTTATTTATTTATTTTTAATGAATACCTGACTTGCTCTTTTTTTTTAACTGGCTGTCTACATTTAGCTCTCCCGGTTCAGAGGGACATCTGCTTCCTGACCAGTATGTGGATTTCCTTTTGGTGGAGGGGGGAAAAAAAAAAAAAACACCAGAAATGTGTTTGTGGTGAGACCTGAGGCCTGCTCAGGGCCCCAAGGCTGTGAAGGGCAATTTGCTCCCCGGGATTTAACGCCCAAACGCATATTCCTCACCCATGATAAGCAGAAAAGGGCAAGACTTCAGCAGGGCGCTTGGACTCCCTCCAGGGACTCGCCTGGAAGAAGACAGGGAGCAGTCTGTACTCGGTGGACTGTTCTGGAAGAGGCTGCCAAGAGGGCCGGCTGCCAGCAACCTCAAGGCCCACAGATCCATTTCTCCTGAGGCTGCACAAAATAGCAGGGGGCGGGTCTTGGGAGCCTGGGGTCAGCTGGGGGTCAATCTGAGAGTCTTTCCTGCTTCTGAGGAAGCTGCCTGGAGGGAGGGAGGAGCTGACCACTTAGCATCTGAATGTTTCCTCCTCCCCCACCCCTCAAATAGCCCCTGGCAGTGCCCTCACTGGGGTGTCCTGAATCCATTCAAGAGATGGTCTGCCACCCAGGCCCCGCCCCCACCCCCCAGGCCCTCTGCCGAGCAGACTTTGGCCTTCTGAAACCTCTCACGTAGATACCCTGATATGTGACCCCCAAGATGCAGACCTGGTGATTTCAGTGCTTAAGCCTGTTGTAGTGCTGGGACCCACTGGAGCTAGACTCTGAGATCCTAGAGCTTGGGTGTCTTGCCATGCTCAGGATTGAGCTCAGGGCCTTGTGATTAAGAATTTTGAGTTCTAGGGGCTGGAATGATAGCACAGCGGGTAGGGTGTTTGCGTTGCATGCGGCCAACATGGGTTCGATTCCCAGCATCCCAGATGGTCCCCCGAGCACCGCCAGAAGTAATTCCTGAGTGAAGAGCCAGGAGTAACCCCTGTGCGTCGCCGGGTGTGACCCCCCCCCCCAAAAAAAGAATTTTAAGTTCTATTCCCTAGCTCTATAAAAATCACTTTTGTTATTTCTGTTCTGGGGGCTATGCTCAGGGTTTACTCCTGACTCTGTGCTGAGGGGACCCTATGAGATACTGTGGAAAAGCTGGTTAGCACATGCAAGGCAAATGTCCTACTTGTTGTATGTCTCTGACCCAACCATCACTTTTACATAAACTTAGAAACCAAAAACTTCGTGTGACTCATTTTATTGAGATACTCACTCTTGTGGTGGTTTAGAGCTATCTCTGAGGCATGACAGTAGTGAAAGTACTTTTGTGAAAACTCAACCATTTAAAGACAAGAAACAATTGGGGGACAGGGATGTGGTTCAAATGATAGAGCATGGACAGGTGAAGCCCAAGTCCCCTGCACTACATGGCACCTGCCCACAGCACCATGAGGTAAGCCATTACAATTATAAAATAAAGAATTTTTGAAGAAAAAATTAAAATACCTCGGGGCCAGAGTGATAGTACAGAGGGCAGGGCATTTGCCTTGCATGCAGCCGACTCCAGTTTGATCCCTGGTATCCCATATGGTCCCCCAAGCACCTCCAGGAGTAATTCCTGAGTGCAGAGCCAGGAGTAACCCCTGAGCATTGCTGGGTGTGACCCAAAAAGCAGAAAAGCAAAAAAAAAAAAGAGAAAAATTTAAATACCAAGAAGGTCAGGAGTTAGGTAGGAGTGAAAATTTATGTCAGCTGCGTGCAAAAACACAAACAAAAGCAAACCCCAACCACCATTAAGCACAATAAAACAGGACATGCCTATTTGAAAAACGCGGGGCTGGAGCCATACTGTGTTTACCTTGCACACTGCTGACCCTGGTTTCAATCCTCAATATCCCATATGGTCCCCCAAGCAACGCCAAGAGTGATCTCTGAGGATAGAGACAGGTGTAAATCCTGAACATTGCTAAGTGTAACCCCACACGCTCCAAAAAAAGAGTAGAATGGGCCCCTATGTTGAACAGTTTTAGGAAAGTGTGGACAAAGGACTGTGAGGACTAAGGCATTCCTCACCCACATGCCACACATACTGATACTTGCCCGTTGAATGGGGATTGGACGCGAGGATTATCTGGGGCAGAACACCAGCAGTGCAAGAATTTCTACTGCAAGAATTCTTCCTCAGTCTGATCTCTGGGACAACCTGAGAGCTTGTTGAAAGTAGAAATCCCCAAGACCCATGCAAGGCACAGTGGAGCAGAAACTGCAGAATTGATCTGGCCCTCGGGTCTTCAGCAGTCCTTCAGGGGGTTCATAAATAAAATCAAGTTCTAGGAACCTTGAGCTAGGCCCCAGGACTGAGACACTACAAGAGATAAAGAAAGAGACCATCTCAGGCCAAGATTATAACCACTACAGGGACAGGTTCAAGGAAACAGCTGCAGATTCAAGCTGTTGCAGATCTTTTCTCTTCTCTCCTTTGAGAGATCCTGAGTCAAGAAAGGGATGGGTCAAGGCTCGCTAGAAGAGGAGGAGATCTTGGGAGTAAACACAATGATTCATGAAGTTATTCTTGCTGTATAACCTTAGGAGGATGACTTTCTACCATCCAGGGAAAGTTGCAGAACAGGACGGGGGTGGGAGCGACACCCTCTATTCAGCTGGGCACTTTATAGAGTTATGTGGGAGCAGAAAGGTAAGTTGGGGTTCTACCCAACAGTTAAAATAGATAAGAACTAGAAAATTACACTGAGGCCTCGATGCAAGTTACTCAACAATCTTGGTTGTCTACTGTGTAACAGGCCCTCAGAGCTTACAGTCTAGTGGAGAAAGACGAATCGAGAGGTAGATAGACATGAGTAGTTGGTGGATAATTAGCTAGATAACAGATAAATATGGAAAGATAAATACTTATGCTTCATATGAAAGCATAAGAAGTTGGCTTCTTATAATGACAAGTTTTTAAAACATAGTAGCTGGAGGGACAGCATAGTGGGTAGGGCATTTGCCATGCAAACGGCCAACATGGCCAACCCGAGTTTGATTCCTCCGCCCCTCTCGGAGAGCCCAACAAGCTACCTAGAGTATCTCGCCCACATGGCAAAACCTGGCAAACTACCCATGACATATTCGATATGCCAAACACAGTAGCAATTGTCACAATGGAGACGTTACTGGGCCCGCTCGGGCAAATCAATGAACAAGGGAAGGACAGTGACAGTGACAGTGACAGTGACAGTACAAGGGGACGCGCACTTGACTTGCACACAGCTGACTCCAGTTTGATTCTCAGGACAGCATATGGTTCCCCAAGCACTGCCAGGAATGATCCCTGAGCACACAGCCAGGAATAATCCTTGTGTATAGCAAGGTGTGACCCCCAAACCCGAACAAATAAATTAAAAGGTACACAAATAGGGTCATATATGAGGGAGTTTTGGGAGTATGTGGAAAACTGCAACTAGGTCATTCAGAGATATTCTTCCTATGACAGGAAAATTGAGCAGGAACTTTGAGATGAGGAAGGAAGAAATACAGAACTCTGGGAGGAGAAAGTATCTATCAAAAGAAGCAACTACGAAAGTGGTGAACATAAAATGGACTTATTAAGCTTAAGTACAGATTCCCTATGGCTACTGGGAAGGTGGTAAGGAGAATATAGTAGGCCAGAAGATGAGACCCCAATAATGACTTTGGCTCTTTTTCTACTAGTCCCCGTCCCGGTCCTCCTGTTGTTCATCGATTTGCTCGAGCGGGCCCAGTAATGTCTCCATCATGAGACTTGTTGTTACTGTGTTTGGCATATTGAATACATCACGGGTAGCTTGCCAGGCTCTGCCGTGCGGGCGAGATACTCTCGGTAGCTTGCCGGGCTCTCTGAGAGGGGCGGAGGAATAGAACTCTGTGTAAACTCACACAACTTGGGGCACGGCACCCACACGGCGGCGGCTCTATCTCTCCCGCCACCCGCGTTCGGTAGTCTCACCCTTCTACCACCCCGGAGAGGTCGATGGCGATGGTCAGGCGGAGGAAGGAACGAGGGCCAGGCTGGTAGGCATTAGTCGTAGTTTATTCTGATCCTCTCCTCATCTGTCTCTCTATCTCTGCCCCCATTCTTCCTCCCCCAGCTACTTCATTCTCCTTCTCCATTCCCCTTCATCCTCCTTCTCTGGAGTCTGGGCTCTGATCCTCTCTGAACTCTCTTCTTCCTTCTGCTCTTCTGCCCCAGCCCGCTCCTACAGTATAGTTAAATTCTCTCTCAGTCAGGAATTGGGGAAAACAATTACATAGGTGCGGTCACAATCAATAGGGGTGGAGATCAACAGGGGTAGAAATCTTAGCCTCAGGGAAGACCGCTCCTAGGACAGATCCTTCCTTAGCAGGAGGACCCACCCTAGAGCAGAATTCCATGGGCGTGCCTCTCCTCTCCTTGACCGACAAGCGTACAAGAATATAATATAAATCATTTTGTATGGATACAGTAAGAAATATCTTAAACTTATAGAATTGCTCTCCTAGGGCCATCTTGATCTCAGACTACGGTGCTCAGGCCAGATAGTCTTTCCCACCCCTAGCAGGATCCTAGTCTTGTCGTTACCTTGGATCATGACAGCATTTGTCCATGATCAAACTCTTAACTTATAGTTAAGAATCGTGGCACTTTGGCCTGGCCCATTTCACTGCCAGGGTAGCTCACTGCTTGCCCTGGGTCCATTCAGTCCCTCGTCGGGACCCTGCTTTTGGGGTGTTAGGAACTAAGGGCAACTGAGGCTTAAGTCGAGAAAGATGATGCCCGGGAGTGAATAATATTCAAGGCCAATCAAATCCTAAATTACAAAGCATAATGTTAACGGTCTTTCTGTATCTATACAAAAAGGATATTACTTTAAAGTAAACTGTTCGTAAGGCATAAGGAGAGGAGAAAGGCAATATTTCACTCATACATATAAAATCATAGATTTCTGGGAAACTGATCTTACAAACTAACAAAGTCTGATTAAGGGGAAAGCTGATTAACTGGGTGGGAGAGCATAGGGAAGATTGTTTACAGATAAACACAATGGAAGTGGAAGTGCTTCAGGAGCACTGAGGTGGGTGTAACCAGATAAAACCTAAGCTTCTTGAAGGACAAAGCAATGTTACCCAACAGAACTCGAGTTGGCCATGTTGGCTGCGTGCAAGGCAAATGCCCTACCGCTGTGCTATGGCTCCAGCCTAGTAGTGGAGCTATTAGAAGGTATAAGGCAATGATCATAATTGGACGTTTAAGAAATGGTTCTTCTTCACTTATATCTCAAGTATCTCTTTTCTTATACTGAAGTATAATTCATCTTCAATATGAAGGTAAGGAAGTAAGCAACTCCTCTGGAGTAAAGCTTGATGAACTGTCTCATACACATACAACTGAGTCACCACCGCCCCGATTTTAATTTTTTTTGTTTTCAGTTTTAAAAATATTATTAAAACATAGCTTCAACACTAGAAGGGCTATCCTCAGAACCTGGACATAAAATATTTATAAAAAGTATACTGTCCACTGTAGGGCGGGAGCCATAGCACAGCAGGTAGGGCATTTGCCTTGCACGCAGCCAACATGGCTGACCCGAGTTCGATTCCTCCGCCCCTCTCGGAGAGCCCGGCAAGCTGCCGAGAGTATCTCGCCCGCACGGCAGAGCCTGGCAAGCTACCCGTGATGTATTTGATATGCCAAACACAGGAACAACAAAGTCTCCAATGGAGACATTACTGGGCCCACTTGAGCAAATCGATGAACAACGGGAGGACAGTGAGGACATGCCCACTGTAAAATATATCATTTCTAAGGAACTGTTCTATCTTTACAGACGCAAAAGCCCCTACAGAGACAATGCTCTGACTTCCTCGTGCTACCCATCATCCCCACAGCATCTATGTATTTTACCCTCATGCCATGCCTGCTTTTGAAACATTCTCTACACCTTCTGCCTTAAGTCCACACTGTCCACTCACAGGGTCCAGTGCATAGAGCTCAGGTTTTAGAAGACCATTAGGTGGGATGCTCAGAAAATACATTGGAGTGCAGAGGATCAATGCAGGGGGGCCCGCTGGAGGGTTGTTGCAATCACCAGTTAGAGAGAGATGTGGTGGGGGCCGAGAATAGAGTGGCAGCAGTGGAGGTGGTGAGAAGTGGTTGGATTGGGTTGTATTTAGAAATGGAGGTGATAGGACATGTTGATGCAGAGTGTGTGGGTGTGAACAAGAATGAAGGAGGTCTTCTAAATCTTCTACTGGCCTGAGTTACTCGCTATGGCGATGCTGTTTCCTGAGATGGAAAAGGATTTTAAAGACTTCTAGCATATTAGGAATCAATAATTTTATGTAAGGAAATGCTAATTAGTGCCTTCGAATTATAAGGCAATCCAAGAATTAAATTTACTGCTTGTGTCTGCCTCTGAAATCGTTGCATCTGAATAACCCTGGATTAGGCTCAGTTGATTATTTGGAAATATTCAGAAAGACACAATGCAATGAAACAAACTAACAATGTCTACCAACCCATCAAGAACTTCCCAATAGGACTAAAATGTAGACTAATGTTAAGCCTAAACCCACTCTCCTTCCTGCCTTCCAGATCCTGATGTCAGAGCCAGGAAAGCTGCTGCAGAAAGTGAAGGTGTGGCTACAAGAGTACTGGAATGTCACAGACCTTATAGCCATCCTACTCTTCTCTGTTGGAATGATCCTTCGTCTCCAAGACCAGCCCTTCAGGAGTGATGGCAGGGTCATCTATTGTGTGAACATCATTTATTGGTACATCCGCCTATTAGACATCTTCGGCGTGAACAAATATTTGGGCCCATATGTAATGATGATTGGGAAAATGGTAAGCAGAGTCCTCCAAGCCCACATTAAAAATTCTCAAGGGAACAGTTCTTAGAATAGGAAGAAGGAACTACTTTGATTGAAACTGCCTTCAATATCTAATTCAATGGTCCTGGGAGTGTTTTATTTTTAAATCCTTTTGAGTATTCATAAATTTAATTACGTCTAATTCATAATTGAAGAATTGGCTATCCATTACCACCAATTCGCTTTCTGGTATATACATTCTATAAGATTGAAAATGAGAGAAACAGAGAAGTATTTACAGATGGTGTGCACACGCTGTGATGTGCGATGTGTGAAGTATAGCAGGAACATAGAAGACCACGTTCACCAGGGAAGATTTTGAAGGAGTGAGTTTCCACTTCACATTGTTTTCTATAAGAACATTTTTCTATAAAAAAAAAGTAAGATTTTTTTTTATTGAGGCACCATGCTTTGCAAAGTTATTTTCAGCATAAAATGTTCCAACGCTAATCCCTTCACCAGTGTCTACTTCCTTCCACCAATGTCCCCAGTTTTCCACCCACCCACCAGCCTGCCTCTATGGTAGATGTTTTTGGTTTTGCTTTTAGGCACTGTCATTTACAATACTATAACTAATAGGGTTTCATGCATGACACTCTACCTTCTCCTAGCACCGTCTTCTGCTTCACCATTGTTTTAATGTTCCTCCTCCGAGCTCTATTACCCCTGGCCCCATAGTAAGTTTCCTTTTGAGGACCCACTCAAGTTCTCAGCTTTGATTGCCTTTAGACATTTGCTATTTCCCGAGTATGTTTCTTTATATCTGGGGTGTTTCTAAATGAAATTTTTTTCCAATGCCTTTTCCCACACAGAAGGAAGGAAAACATTGATTTGAGCTCTGATTTGAATTAGGTTGAGCTTGAGTTGGACATTAAATTTTTTCAGTATGTCATGTTTTGTTACATTATTGGAAAATGTTCTTTGTTAAGAACTAGGTTCCAGAATTATGCTCTTACCTATCTGATTCTTTTAAAAAAGAATGGCATGTGGGAAACTAGTTTTCATAAGTAGAAACATTTCTACATCCACATATGTGGATGTAAACTTGTTCTAACATTCCTCGACCATACATGAGTTTCTTAGATTTTCTCTGAAGACTGAATTCTGTCATCAGTGGGCAGCGTCAGTGTATACAGAAAAGTACATTTAAAAAGAATCTCCCTCTCCATACTTGAGGAAAAAAACAGAGAATGTTGCCGAGTAACTGGATGATATTTACATTATTCCAGAAATATTCAGAAAGACACAATGCAATGAAACAAACTAACAATGTCTACCAACCCATCAAGAACTTCCCAATAGGACTAAAATGTAGACTAATGTTAAGCCTAAACCCACTCTCCTTCCTGCCTTCCAGATCCTGATGTCAAAGGATCAGCTCTGATCAGTGGTTTACAGCTGTAAACCACTTTTCTAAACAGATCCCCTGCTATTTTACCTTTATAGTATATATGTGAAAAAGTCAAGTACATTCATATGACAAGCAACTGTTATTAAAAATCATTCTGTGAATACAGACCACTCCATTTTCATTGATAGAGCTAATGAAACCACAATTGGTCAATAAGAGGCCTTCTTTTAAATCATTCTCACTTCAGTTTTACTGCATACATCATCACTGCTGACCTTTTCCGTCAGCAAATCAATATTTATGATGATGATGACGATGACATGTGTAACTACTGAAATGAATGCTAAATAATCAATATTCTTCTTATAAAACACTTACAAACTCATGCACTGGAAGAAATAAGTTAAAACCAAAATCAAGGGATTATGAGAATTCAGGCTTTTACTTAGCCCTTTTGAGACTCAGTTTATTCATGTTTTAAGTAATAAAAAATGAAAATCTTGAAAGATAGTGTTGGTAACATGATATATGTGAATTAACCAAGTGACTGGCTTATAACAGTTAGTTGATAAGTTGCATATATATCCTCATGTTCATATTATGTTTGGTAAATTACAATGAAAAAACATTACAGTGTTAAAGATATTCCAGAACACCTACAGAATCCTATACCTTTTGTGTAAAGATTGGCATTTGTTGCTCGATCATGCTGCTTATTATATCATCTTTGTATGTAGTGATGAATTTGAGATTGTGGTGAAAAGTCCCATGTTTAAAAACAGTTTCAATCTAGAATCTTGTGGAAAAAATTTAGGAGAAAGAATCTATGGACCCTTCTCCAATTTATATATGAAAATGTATGGGCATATGAGTTTGCTGAATGGAGAGAACACATTCCCAGGAAAATCACAAATATAGCCTCAAGCGTATTCAATGTAAGTGAAGAACTATAATGTCTGCATAATTAAGCCAAGTTTTCTCAACCTTCACACAATCAATATTTTATACTAGATAATTACTTGTTCTGAGGAGCTGTAAACATTATATGATGTTTACATAATGAATGATAGGATGCAATATAGGGTGTACACAAATATACACACATATATACATATATTACAAAAAGAATCTGAGAGATAGTACAGATAGTAAAGTACTTCCTTGCCACATGAGTAACCCCAGTTAGTTTCCTGGAACTGTATATAGTCCCTAGATCACAGATAGGAGTAAGCCCTGAGTACAGGTGGGTATGACCCAAGAATAACAAAGGAAACCAATGTCACTTGTCTTCTGAGAGACAAAATTGTGTCCTGTTGAGAACAATTTCATTACCCAATACATAAGAGGCAAAATTGTGTTCTGTTTAGAACTATTTCATTACCCAATGCATAATCTGATCAGCTCTTTTTATCTGATAGATGATTGCCTTATTTTATTTTAATAAAAAGTATATGAAAAGAGCCAAACAAACCAAATGTATTACTTTAAAAATTTTAAATAGGTAGTCGCTAACTTTCATTTAGGTACTTGAAATAATTAAAGTCATACTAGATTTGAAAGTCAGACTATTTCAAAATCCACATCTATCATTTTAATGATGACATAATTATTTCACTTTTGACTGGAATGAAACTTTACTATAACGTGAACAAAAGAGATGTACTCCATTTCTCTACCTCCTATCTTATGAATGATTTCACTTATCACTCAAGAATAAGTAGAAAATGAGAATATTTAGGGGCTTAGTTCCTTTAATGAGACTCTTAGGATAATTAATTCAATAATCGAGTCACTGATCCAGAAGATAGATAAAATTTACTTAAAGAATTTATTAGTGAGTCAGATAGACTTCCAGGCTGGAAGCTTAACAAAATATGCCTGGATCTGAATGCATTAAAAAATAAAAAACCTTGGGAAGTTCCTATTCAGATTAATAAATCCCTAAATTTCCTCATAATTCACTGGGTCCTGTGGCTGTAGGGGACAACCAGATTCAAAGAGTTCCGTACATAATCATGATTGCTAAATTGGTTCTCTGAAGCCTGTGTTGTATAAGAAAGAGAGGAACCAAATGCCTCCCCTCATGAAAACCTACATATCCATTGAGATTCCAGTCAATCTGCAAGTTCAGGATCATACACAATCCTGATAGAATCCTGAATCTTCCTTCACATTCCCCTTCTAAATGGAATTCTCCAAGTTTAGTACTAAGCTCTAAATCCTGATAGAATCCTGAATCTTCCTTCACATTCCCCTTCTAAATGGAATTCTCTAAGTTTAGTACTTACATAATGCTGAACAATAATAACAGCTATGAACAGGCTTTTAATATCTTTATTTAGCCATTTAAGTCAACTGAGCCTGTGCAAGGGACAAAGACAGGGTTCAAACTTCAGATCAGTGTCTGACCACCTTCCAACTGTCATAATTATATATGAAATTTACAGAGAGCTAACTATGTTGAGTATTTAACATGATCTCATTTAATCCTTTCAAAATTAACACGCATTCTTATTACTCTTATATATACATTTTACCAATAAAAAAAGAACAAGAGTAAACAAACCAAAAAATCTAGTTATTTTTACTATCAGACAAAAATGAAAATTCAGGGGCTGGAGCAATAGCACAGCAGGTATAGCTTGCACTCGGTGGACCCGGGTTCGATCCCCAGCCTCCCATATGGTCCCCTGAGCACTGCCAGGAGTAATTCCTGAGTGCAGAGCCAGCACTGACCCCTGTACATTGCCAGGTGTGACTCAAAAAGAAAAAAAAAGAACAGAAAAGAAAAGAAAACTCAGGTAGTCTGACATCTGGGTATATGTGTTTAGTAACATAATATTTATTCTCCTCAATAGAACATATCACAGGGTGTTTACATAAAGGAGACAAAATCAGGTCTCTTACTAATGAAACCAATTAATAAGTTTAGATTTAAAGTCAGAGGTGATCAGCCCAAGTTCTCAGTAATAATTTTCTATGTCTACATGTCTTCACTCTACACTATTACATTTCAACATTTGGAAGGTAAGATTTGAAATAGAGTTGAGTTTTTTTGGAGAATGTTTCTCCTCATTGATTGTCTTGACCCTTTGGATATCGCAATCCTATCAAAATGAAAACAAGCCTGAAAAATTAAATTAAAACAGTGGCTGTATTTACTGGCTGAATTTTTTGGGGTCAAACTGGCTCCTGAATTTTATGGTTTGCTCTACCAACATCTTTAAATCATTATAAGTAAACAGGACAGGAAGAAGCCATTCATATTTTTCCATTGATAAAACTTTTTATAAATAAACGATGAAAGAATTTTACAAAATTAAGAGAGAGAAGATTCAAAAAATACAGATCCGTGTTTCCTATAAAACTGTTTCAACACTGCTGGCTTGCTCACTTTAAGAGAATTTTGAGGCCACTATATTGTGAAAGAAATAGCTAATAACTAATTAACTGGCATATTTTTTAAGTCAGCAAACAAATCAAATTTTGCAAATTCTGTTTTAGTTTCAAAATCAGACAATATTTGAAAGATGGACTTTGAAGTTGCCTTTCAGTTCATTGGCTTAAAATATATTGAGCCCCTGGTATCATAAAGCATATAGGAAGATTTTAATGGATTGGTTGGATCTGGGGTCAAACCTCAGAGTGTTCAGATATTTCAGGTTACTCAGTGCTCATGAACCACTCCCAGAAGTACTCAGGAGATCATATGGTTCTCTCTCTCTCTCTCTCTCTCTCTCTCTCTCTCTCTCTCTCCTTCTTTCTCTCTCATTTACTTCTATCAGTATCACTAGTGGTGTACAGCCTCAGATATTCTGAATTCACATCATTACAGAGTGAAAGGGCATTTTCCCCCCCAGCTTCAGGAAATTCAGAGAGAGGATTTTGGTTGACTGGCATGTCCTGTGTCACGTGCGTACTTCCTATCACTGTTGCCAACAGATGAGTACCATGATTAACCTAGCCTAGAAAAGTGGCCTATCTTTGTGGCCAAAATGGGTGGGAACGGTTTCTAAAAGAAGTAGGTAATGGGTTCTGGCCAGGCAAAATAGTAGTTACTACATCCTCCTCTATTTTTGGTGATAAAAGGAAAGTAATTTGGCATACGAGGAGCAGATCCCAGATAACATGTATCATCAGACCAAGCCAAAAACAAAGGCATAACATAACAGCGCACTTGAAAGCAGTTGAGAACTTCATAAACATGATAGGATGAAAATTCAACATTTCAGCAGCAGGCACAGGAATGATCTATTAAGCTTCTTAATTCTAATGCCAAAGAAAACACACCCTAGATAACTGATAAAATACACTACAAAATAGAGAAAGTAAGAGTAAGAAAGAAAGAGTAGTTCTCTGAGAGATTGGTTTGTGGTAGGACATATTGCAATAAGTGCAATAAGGCAAGGCCACAGGAATGAGAAGATACATAATGGATATTTGTTGTCCTGGCTTTATTTACAAATGGCTCTATGTTGGGACTTGCCAACTCATTATCCTTTCAGAAGTTGGGGATTTACGGTACTGCAGGAGTTTTTGAAATAGTTCAATTATCCCAATTTCAATTTTGCTAAGAAGAGAGAGGCCCAAGGAGAACATTTGTTTCCCCCAGGAGCAGAGAAAAATTACTGTAGAGACCCAAACTTCTGTGTTATGTGATATACTGTGCTTAACCTTGACTAATTCCCACACAGCAATGGAAATTTTAATGAGTTTTGAGTTACTGAGAAGTTTCTGAAGAGACTGATTTCAGTAGGCCAAGGATTCTCTTGCCTGGACGTTGCTCCCTGTCTAAGCGTTCCAATCTGTGATCCCCCAAGTAAACCTTCTTCAAAGATTCTCATTAAGGTCAGCCTTTATGGGGATACTCGATCATATGGGTTTATTTTCTCTCTCTCTCTCTGTCTCTGCTTTCCCACCTTCCAGATGATAGACATGATGTACTTTGTCATCATAATGTTGGTGGTGCTGATGAGTTTTGGGGTCGCCAGGCAAGCCATTCTCTTTCCCAATGAAGAACCATCATGGAAGTTGGCCAAGAACATCTTCTACATGCCCTATTGGATGATATATGGGGAAGTGTTTGCAGACCAGATAGACCGTAAGCAAGTTTATGATTCTCATACACCAAAGTCAGGTATTTAACTTCAATTGGGTCATGTCTTTTCCAAGTTCATTTGTTTGTTCTCAATAAATGGCTCAAGATAGAGGACTGATTTCTAGCTGGCTATCTTGAGGGGGGGAAAAACAATTACAGAATTACAGAAGGTGAATATATAATTTTAGTCCTCGGGTGTTTCTCCAGGTATGTCCTTTCTTTGACACAAATAGACATCTGGTGTGCCAAATTTGATTTAAGAAATGAACCATTTACGAAAGATCTAAATTCTCTGGGGATTCAAATTCTCAGGGCCATGTGTTGACTCTTTCAATATTAGGAATATATTATATCACAGTCCCCACCTCTCCCCCAGTCTTGAGCCTTTCAAAAGAAATTCCTTAGGTTTGACTTCAGAACAAATAAACAATTCTCGATTTCACCATCAGGCTTCAAGAGCGAGGGCAAACATCTGCATAGTGTTTTCCTTACACTGGAAACTATTCTCCTGCTCCTTTTCCCACTGTCTTAAATTATGTGCTATGTAGATGCAAAAAAAGAGCTAGTATTCATTGCCTGAAAGTATGGAAAATGCCTTAGGTTCTAAACGAGTTGCTCGCTGCTAATGCCAGAAAAAAAAATTATATCTATATCATGAAGTGATTCAGTGTGGGGAAAAATGCCAACAGGCCCCCTATGTTTCATGTCCTAATAGAGGCTGTTTCATGATAATAAACACTCCCCTTGTGTGGAGTTCGAAGACAATTGTATCCCAGGAGTCTGTTCCAGCATTTTATTTGGACCAAATGTCAGGACACACTAGGCATTAGAAATGATTGGGAAGAAAGCATCAGGAAAGAAGTATATTTCAGTGCGGAGGAGTTGAATCCTGGGAGCAGCTCTTTCTCATTTTCCCTGAGGAGTTTAGTTCTAGAAATATTATTCCTCCTAGATTGTTGAATTAACATTTTTTAAACATTTTTTGCTGACAGGACAACCCTCTGCACCTTGGACTGTGGACATGGATAAGGGTTACATAAACAGGTAGTAGCACTTAGTAAGAGTGGGCGCAGAGACTTCAGATAGTCAGCAACACGCCCCCAACACCCAACTCACAGTCTCAGCAAGTAGGACTGAGACCATTAATGTAAGGACAAATCGTGAGTCCTCCAGGTCTGTTAAAAGCATGTCTACACTGGCAATAAGAGACCAGCACATCATTTTCCCCCCAGAGTGGATTCTGAACAAATACTCTTTCCTTCTCAATGAGTTATCTGTGGTGAGAAGGCTTTTGGAATGCCTTCCAAGAACAGATATTCATTTCATGAGACTAAACAACTCACCAAAGAAGCCATCTTACCCCTGTTCCACCCCCCTCCACCCCACCCCCACTCCCTATTGGTTGTGATATCTTTGGTTGACAATGAACAGCTTTCATGCGAACAACTTTCCAGGGATTGGGGAAAACTCCTGAGGATCTTCCTTTCAAACAGTTCCTAAAGGGAAAAAGAACTTCAAAATACTCCAAGCGCACACCTATGATCATTCTCCTTAGAGATTTTCTGTTTTCCTCCCAAAGAAATGGTTTTCTACTTAACATTATTTTGCCTTGCTAGTTTTCCTTTCTTCCCCCAAATGAGACTGAGTTCCCATGGGTGATTTGGGGATAGGAGAAAGAGGGAGGTTTAGGTATGTTTGATAAATGGGATTTTGTCTGTCCCTCTACAAGTGGCCATTTATTGATGTTGTACTATGAACTCAGACTAGTGCAACAAACACCACCATCTGGCTGAATAAGAAGAGTTATTATTGTTCCTTTAATAGAAGGGCTGATTGTAGTTTAGAACTGAAACCCCCTCAGAGATGGAAGAGAGGTGTTGAATGTGCATGAAGTTAAGAAAATAGCTTCCCTACTCTATTCATGAGATCTGTGGTATTTTACGTGTGTAAATTTCCAATGCTCAATCCCAGAATCTTACTGCCCCAGCCTTGGATGGATGTGACCTGTGCAACACCCTTCTCCAACTACTTAGCTGCCTTTCTGACATTCTGAAATTGACTGCAATGGTAGCCACTGTTCTAAGCTAAATCAGCCAGTTTTCTGTCTAACGCGCTAAAGAGTATTTGTCCTTTCTCAAATGGGACAGGAGGTTTCCCCTCCCTCAATCTGGCCAAAGTCTTTGAACATCCTTGTCCTCTTAATGATTTAATGCTCTTGGTATGGCACCTGCTGAGTCCCTAGGGGAGCCAGGTGACTCCCCCTACCTGGTTGGAATTTCCCAGGAGACCAAGTACGGAGCTATTTGAGAAAGGTATAAATCGGTTCTGCCGCCCTGCAGTGTCTTGCCTCTTCTCTGTGCCGTGTCCAGGTTGGTTGTGAAGCATGTGTTCAGGCTGATTGGATCTCATATCCACCTGGACCCACCCACAGCCCCGTCCAGGCTCCCCCAATCCATCCTGTGGGTGTTCCCCTCTGTGGGCTCTTCATTCATGAACAGCTTCCCACAGTGACTGGTCTCTAATGTAAATGCACGCGCGCCACATTCTAACTCTGTTTTCCACTGCAAAACTGCTATACCCATTTCATGTTTGGAGAAATCATCTCTCTGAATTTAGACAAATAATTCAGGGTCTATAATGGGGCCCTTGGGGTGGGTTCCTAAGCTCTGTCTTCAACCTCAGAAGGGTAGGCAGCATTAATGCCTTCACTTCTGGGAGATGATGTTATTCAGCAACAAATTATTTTTATATTTATTCTGGTTTTGTTCTTAATATTTGTCTTGATCCCAGAGGCTATCTATAAGGCAAATTTAAAAAAAACCTGAAATTAGACTTGTAAGGTTACTTTCCAAATTGTGCTTAAAAATGAAAATTGAAAGCAATAGAAAAGAATGGAGACACTGAGGAAAAAAAATCACACAATAATCTAAAAATTCACCCCTCCAAACCGGGTTGGACTAACGCAAATAATCATTCAGCCTCAATCTATGCTCTCTGTAGAGATTAAGATAACTATTTTAGCATCGGGGGCAAAAAAAGAGAAGGCAGGAATTTAATGAAATCGGAAGATAGTGAAATTGGGGATGGGATAGTGATGATCAATTCTACCTGCAATCTTTGAGCAGTGACTTCCCCCATTTACTTATGGGAACTGAACTTGCTGCTATTTGGTGAGCTAGGTTTTGTTTCAAGTAGTCTCAAATCCTCTCAGGTGTCTATCTTTTATTTAATATCAGTTCTCTGAAACCCAGCCTACATACAGGCTACCATGAGGAGACTGAACTTCCGGTTGGATACTGAACGATGATGCCCATAGGGCAGACTCATTGAGGCGCCCATGTTTTGTGACTTCTAAATGCTAGTCAAGATCCTGCTAGAAGGGCTGGAGCAATAGCACAATGGGTAGGGCATTTGCCTTGCACATGGCCGACCCAGGTTCGATTCCCAGCATCCCATGTGGTCCCCGGGGGAAGTGCCAGGAGTAATTCCTGAGTGCAGAGCCAGGAGTAACCCCTGAGCATCGCCAGGTATAAATCGACCCAAAAAGCAAAAAAAAAAAAAATGCAGTGGGATGAGATGGGGTGAGTGCCATAGGGTGGAGGGAGCTTTTGGGAGGACAGGTGAAGCACAGTAAGTATGTTTTGAACACATTTCTTTCTGTTGAAGCCAGGGCAAAGCTAAAAGGAGGTGGATACCACTCAGAAACCTGGTCTGTCTTGTTGTCTGAGGTGTGTGAACATGCACCTTTGCTGGCAGAGGAAATGGATTGTCAGGTTTCCTCAAGCCCCTGAATGAATGAATGATACTTTCCTTTACTTCTGGGCATCCTTCTTTTGCTGCTGTACACTCAGATTATTCAGGCTGTACGGGGTGGGGGTGGGGTGAATCATCCTTTTGAACGCATGAAATAGGGTCTAAATTTAGTGTTTCTTCCTCCCTCTCCGAGCATTTTTACAAGTTAGGGTAGTAATGTGAAAGCAGGATGTCCAAAATTTTCTTTCTTCATGGCAACTTAATATTATCTGGCTATTCCCATTGACTACAAGTAAACTATCCAATCTACTCAATGCATGAGTCAAATTTTCTCTTTTATAGCCTAGAATTTTTCCATCTGAAAAAAAAAATTGATCTGAAGTAGGAGAGTGGGTGTGCCATTTTGATTTGGCTTTTCTGTTTTATTTATTTAATTGTTAACCTATTACAAGTTTTTCCATGAAAAAATTGTTAGTGTCACAGCAATACCACTCCTGGGAATATATCCCACAGAGGCAAAAAAAAGTATAGTTGAAGTGACATCTGCACTTGTTTGTTCATTGCAGTACTGTTTACAATAGCTAAAATCTGGAAAAAATCTAAGTGCCCAAGCACAGATGACTGGTTAAAGAAACTTTGGTACATCTACACAATGGAGTACTATGCCACTGTTAGAAAAGATGAAGTCATGAAATTTACATACAAGTGGTACTACATGGAAAGTATCATGTTAAGCGAAATGAGTCAGAAAGAGAGGGACAGGCATAGAAATATTGCATTCATCTGGGGAACATAAACAAAATAGGAGACTAACACCCAAGAATAGCCGAGATAAGCACCAGGAGGTTTATTCCATGGCGTGGAGGCCAGCCGCACATGCTAGGGGAAAAGGCAGCTCAGATAGAGAAGGGAGCACCAAATAAAGGGTTTTGGGGGGATCCTCCCAGGATGGGAGATGCATGCTGGAAGTAGACTACAGACCGAACATGATTGCCACTCAGTGCCTCTTTTGCAAACCACAGCACCTAAAAGGAGAGAACAAAAGGGAATGCCCTGTCACAGAGGCAGGGTGGGATAGGGGAGACAGGGGGTGGGAGGGATACTGGGATCAGTGGTGGTAGAGAATGGGCACTGGTGGAGGGATGAGTACTCAGTCATTGTATAACTGAAACCCAAGCACAAAAATTTATAAGTCGACAACTGTACCTCATGGTGTCTCACCAATAAAAATTAAAAAAAATATTATTAGG